TCTGCCTTAATCCACCCGTGTAACTGATAGGAAGAACTGCGTACATCTCATAGCTGTTTAAGCAGCGATGAATCACGAAGGCCCTGGAGACGCTGTTAGTGCGCAACTAAAAAGAGCAAGAGATCTTTCAAATCCCCCTGAAATGCTAAACGTGTCCACACAACATGAGTGCGATGAGAGGAGCCATCAGACGTGCACGGGTGTCTTTTGTTGTGTAAATACTATATTTTTTGTCTTGAAGTTTCTATGTCAGTATTTATTTAGCATATTTGGAACTGAAATCTACATTGTTGGGGTATCTCACTTGGTTTTAGGTACTTTTACTATCAAACTGCATCTCAACCATTTCCAAGGCCTATAAAAATTGGGGTCAAAAAAAGTAAAAAAAAACATAAAAACAAATGATTAGTGTTAGTGTCTTATTAGTGCTCTCAAATCTTAGAAAATCCAAAAAAGGAAAAAAATGACATTGGTTTCTCCAAGGAGTGAATGTCAACGGGTCAATGTCTTGCTACATCTTGTGCGACTAGATTTGGATTTGGTATTGGTATATAACCCTTTTGCCTAAGGTACAATAGTCACGTTTTGGATAAGAAACTGTTTTTGTGTGTAGGAAACTGTATTTTGTTGTTGACAGACAACCAAAGGAATTAATAAACAAAACTAAAATTGTGTTTGCAAGTATCTATGTTCTATGGTTATTATTATTTTATTGGTTTTACATAATTGTTTAAGTATTTTGGGGATATGAAATGGGATGATTCAGAACTCAATATGTCCAAACCACATTTGAACTATAGTGTATTCATTAGTTCTTCTGCTCCCAGATTTTATTGCCGTGATAAAATCAGAGCCCAAAGTCTAACTGTAACTATTCTACAGACTTTACAACTAGACTTGTTGCTCTGCTTAATAAAAAGAGGCGGAACCATCAAAGCCTCCTTCTGTCAACTCTGCAGCTTACTCATCTTATCATAGTATTTAACACATGTGGAAATAGAAGAAAGAAGCCATCAGACTTGAGCCATTTCTTTAATTGGCAACTGTCAGGGAATAGCAGCTTAGTAGATTATTTTACGATACACCAACAACTCTTGTTTGGGTGGTTACAATCACTAAAGCAGATAACATGGCACTTTCTGACTGGACAACAGGGTGGAAGCATTGGGAAGACTATGTTCCAATTCTGTGGAAGGTATGACATCTGTCTTTGACCATCATCGCACCATATTCAACTAGTATTATTTTTTTTTCTACAAATATCAAGTGAACAAAGCTTCAATACAAATCAAATGACTTGTTGGGCCGAAGTAGAAGTAGTGTATCTGTCAGGAGGATGAATGATGGTTATAGGGGGCAATAAAGCCAGAAATAAGTCAGGAATAAGTCCACCTGTGTCATGACATTTCACATTTTAACAGGGGTCATATGAACTCAGTCTACAAACCAAGGCCTTATTCTTAATGGTTGTTAACCTTGATGTGCCTCAAATATATCCCTCCCTCAGTATTTTTATCTTATGTGGATGTAGTTATCAGCTCTGGTGTAGAGTAACAGTCATCACTTCATTTGGAGCATGCTCTGATGAAAATCTAGAAAACATGGACCTGAGGGTTTGGTACCAGCTGCTGTAGCCACACAAACACTGCTGGGGGAAGATAACATGAAGAGGCCGGAGTCGCTCAGTCTGTGGCAGCCTGGCATCCACTATCTCCTCCTCTCTGGAAGCTGGGCTAATCCACGGCCTCGCAACAATCATTATATACAACTGGAGTACAGAAACAACAACAGCATAGATTAGGGGCCTTTTTAAAGGATCTGACCGGGACCTCATACATAGACAGTCTTTACCCTGGGGTGCTCCTTTGTCCTGCTTTTAGTTGCACCCATCAAAGCCGGAGTAAAGCTCAGGAATGTGAGCAGGTGTCTCAGGAAGTTTCCATATGGAGAAGAGACAACAAAAGAGCTGTCTAGATAAATATAACCCAGTTCAATATAATCCCAAGTACTGCACTCTAAGGAGCAAACAGGGGCAAACATTTGGATCTACTGTATATTTCTTATGTTTTTTATGTCAAAACTAAGAGATAGGAGAACCGTGTTTGTCCCACAGTTAGAACGGTATTAGATGGGCTTAGCCATCCGTACAGTCCGCTCAATCATAATTTCCGTGCATGTAACGTCTGGGTCTGGTCCCTGGGTTAGCGATTACAACCGGTTGAATTTCGACCGACAAATCAGCAAGCGTGGGAGGTGGGTGTTGTAGTTAGTTGTGGGTGACGTCAAGAGTTTGCACCGAACGGGCAGGTTGTAGTTTGGCAATAGCAAAAAATTTGATAGTAAAGTAATCCGGTCTGGTTCTATCAAGAAATTAAAGCCGGAGCAAGAGTAATGTTTAGCAAATGTAATCGCTGGAAAAAATTGTGGCGCTACTCCTTACGGGCTCCGTTAGCGACAAAGGAGATGGCTAGGCTAAATGCTAACAAAAGACTCGGACGCACTACATACGTCACGGTAAACTCAGATCCAATCGTTTCAATCCGCAAAAGGAGTTAACCCCTCCCACCTGTAAACGGAGCTCAGTGGAGCACCTCCAGACCTTAGTATGAAATGTAATTTGTACTATGGTGTGGTACGACCAGTCTAGAACAGTATAGGCATCTTATATATATTGTTTTTTTTTTTTTTTTTTTTTTATTGAACCCTACATACATAGACAAAGTGAAAACTTTAAAGGTGCTCTGTGTAATTTTTACAGTTGCTCCAAATGAAAAAACATGTTAACCAACAAAAAATGTGACCTTTTTAAGAATATTTACCTCCACCATGTTTTCAAATTCCTGTCATAGGCTTAGAATTTGACTTATAAATGTACATAAGAGCTGGAGTACTCTACGTGTCAATCCGCCATCTTGAAATACAGTCGTTTTATAAGGGACAAGAAGGAGTTTGAGCTGGAGTTGGGGACCACTGTCAAAGGCGACATATTGTTCTGCGAAGCTACTGTAGTACGGTAAATTACAATGTATGATCTCAATGCTAGATGGGAGTAAAAACTACACAGTGTACCTTTGAGACACAGATTCTATAGTCCATAACTTGAGTATCCAGACCAGTTCCCGACCGGACCCAATACTTACACCATCTTATATTTAATCGACCAATTACTGCAGGTTACTTTTTTTTAAATGAACTCCATGATCTTAGGTCGAAAGTTCAAAACTGGTCTCAAATACTATTCAGCGACATCATGAGTCACGAGCAAATACTGAGGATATTTACCGGTTCATTAGAGAGGAGACTCAAGTGACCGCAGCCACTTTTCAAATTAATAAGCATCAGATGAAACATGTAAACCAGCTGACACTATCATATCAGATAATCAACACGTTTATTTTTCTCCCTCAAACGCCAACATTACCCCTCCAACAAATGCTAAGTAAAACAGCCCATCATCAAGACAGCAACAGAAGTTTTCTTTAGAAATCGTGCCAAAGATATAAGATAGGATTGACTTCATTGATCTCACACTGGAGAAATGTACATATTAAAATAATGAAGATTATACGTTTATTATTGCGATGAAATACGGAACATATATTTATAAGTATTGCTGTTTTTGTTTGTTTGCATCAACAAGATAAAAATGATGATAATGGTAAAAATCAGGAATGTCATGTGAAAATTTAAATGTTTTTGCAGCCGCTTAAATGAATTATTGATTATGGGGAAGGCACTTATACGCTTTTTGCTTCTGCCTTCTACTCTTGAGCTTTCTTTCATTCTTGAATTTTTTGTGCCATTAAAAAAAAGATAAAATACATTCTGCTCAAATAAAAATACTACTGTGTAAGTAACACAGACCAGAGTCACAAAGCGGTTTACAATTGTGGGCATTTGTCTCTCACTCCACACACAGAGATGGAAGCGGGGTCGGACCAATTTTACATGTTTTTTAGTGGTGGGGAAACCAGAGTACCCGGAGGAAACCTACTCCAACACGGGGAGAACATGCAAACTCCACTCAGAACTACTACTCCTACTACTACTAAATACTACTACATGTGACATTTGGCACTCAGATTTAGCAAAAAAGTCAGAAGTGTGCAACATGTTTAAGGTAAAAAATATAGTCTGTGCAGGAAATAATTATGTACAATCAAAAAGAGAGGCAATAGCAGTGCAGATTTTTTCAGTCCTAGTGCATATGAGACTCTCTTGGCGTCTTTTGGACTGGAACAGTAAAGCACTGGTGGTCCACAGTCCACAGTCTGACAGCAACAGACTGGGAATAAAAAGTACTAATTATCTACTTAAAACACCTCATTTTTGTTAAATCAGTGGTAAATCAGAGCAGAGTTGACTTCAGGCTGAAACCTTGCGGCACAAAACACAAGCTGGAATGAATTCTGTGTGCTTGATATGCAACATTAAGGCATATTTTTAAGAATGTGCCTGAACATATGAGGCAAAGCAATTGTATTTTTGTCATTGATTCATTTCAACCCATCAGGTCTATGTACAATGACTTTACAGTGACGGACAGAACCAGGTCTATCAAATAAAGTAGTAAAAATACATTGTCATTGATTTATTGGTAATTCCATCTCTATTTCAAGACTGCAAAAGAAACTATAAATCAAAAGGGCTTGCCATGTAACTTGACAAGTACCACCTTGCACTGAATGTAATTGATACTGTGTTAGAATTCAAAATATGGTCATAATGCAAATGTTGCCAAGCTTAAAGGCAAATAATTAGTAGTAATCATGAGTAGTATAAACAAAAGTGTATGATTACAACAGTCGCACTTCTCCTGAATCAACATAAATCAAATAAATATGTTTAATAAGAAGTGGGTTGATGCTAAACATATAATAAAATATCGTAATATCGTAGTGGCCTGATTTTTTTTTTTCTTTCAATTTTTTGACTAGACATCTCCCTTCAAAAAGCTGTTTTTATTTTTATTTACAAAGCTCAAGTTTAGAATAACTCACCCCTGGTAGCTGGTCACGTTTGCGATGACCAAAATCGTCTTCTCCTTCCCTCCCATGTTTCTCATGGGTGTGATGGAGATCCACTCACTCTTCTTTGTCGCAGCTTCTTAGATCCAATCCCTGGATGCTCCCGTTTCAAGATCCAGCAAAGTAAATCGACCGAGACACTTTAATGCAAGCTGTGGCTGCCTGTGCCTCTCGCAGCAGACCTCCAGTGATAAGCAGGGCAGAGGGGCGGGTATAGGGGCAGATGGGTGGGGTGTGTGGGGGTTATCTGCCTTGGGACCCTGGGACCAGAGCAGGGGACAGAGCGGAGGACGTGTTCCAGGGAATGTGGCTTGTTATAGAGGAACGAGAGGAATGCCCCACGGCCGTGTGTGTCTGCGAGAAGATGGGAGACGATAGACTGAAGCTGGAGCTCAGAGGAAAGACTTGATTATAGACTATGTGTGTGAGCTGGGCGGCAGGTTATTTGTGGTTGTTGTAGCATTTTAGTAAGTAGCTAGATAGATAGATAGATATAGATAGATAGAGAGATACTTTATTGATCCCTGTCGGAGAAATTCAGGTGTCCAGTAGCCGTAAAAAAATAAAAAATAAAATTGATCATTCAAAAAAGTTAACAACAGTAATAATCAGCAACAGCCCTTCATGTCACAGCAGCCCAGATGGAGTAGCCTCTGGGTGGAGCGGGACAGGTCACGGCAGCAGAGATGGAGTAGCCTCTGGGTGGAGCAGGACGGGCCACAGCAGCAGAGGTGGAGTAGCCTCTGGGTGGAGCGGGACAGGTCACGGCAGCAGAGATGGAGTAGCCTCTGGGTGGAGCAGGACGGGCCATAGCAGCAGAGGTGGAGTAGCCTCTGGGTGGAGCGGGACAGGTCACGGCAGCAGAGATGGAGTAGCCTCTGGGTTGAGCAGGACGGGTGACAGCAGCAAATGTGGAGTAGCCTCTGGGTGGAGCAGGACGGGTCACAAGGAGGAGCAGCCTCTAGGTGGAGCAGGACGGGTCACAAGGTGGAGTAGCCGCTTGGTTCTGAGCATTTTCTCTGCTCTAGTCCAAAGTAAAATGCTGAATGCTCCACTAGCATTTTTCAAAAAGTTATCATTCCTCCAGTGGATTTTCACCTGATCCACTTGGTTCGGACCATGAACCCTCTCCGCTCTTGTCTGGACCAGTGTAAAGCCATGAAAACCACTGCAGCAACATCTCAGGTAGAAAAAAAAAGCAAGAAAATAACATTGATAAAGCACAAAACAACAACTGCTTCAGAGCTACTTAGGACCTGCTGCCGTTTTCCAGCGCATTCAAAAGTAAACGAGTAAGTCAGCAAATAAGTAATAGTAGAAATATAACAGGCTTTATTCTGAACAAAAAACTGTATCACAATAATAGACTGTTAGTGGGTCGAACAAAAAGGACTGTGGTGATGATCCAGGACACTCAACATTTCAATGGTTTTGTTAAGTCCTCTGAGAAAATACTGTTGTGATTTAGGGCGAAACAAGAATAAATTGAACTGAATACGTTTTGTACATATGGAACAATGATAAGTATTAAATATCACAGGTTAGAATTAGCATTAAAAACCTTTGACTGATCTTAAATGTTTTTTCTCATAGATGACGGCTTCACAAAACAGCAGCAGAGAATCAAAACTTGGCATCATACAAAAGCATTAAGTCTGTGCCACATTGTAAGTAAGTAAGGGTTTTATGTGTAATTTTATGGTGGTCGGAGGAGCTGGTGGCACACACTGGTTGCCTCGCTTCTATCAGTGTGCCCCAGGGCAGATGTGGTGGATGTACTTATTCTTTAAATTGTATCATCTATTATCTTTGATGTGTGCAATCTGAGTCTTATTTCCTTCTTGTTTTTCTGCCGTAATGCAAAACAATGACATTGAAATTCCCCCCATTGTGGGATAAATAAAGCAACCTAATTTCTTATCTTAAAAAGCATTACTTCAACAACACATTGGGAACACCTACAACACAGAACCACAGAATCACAAAACCGCAGAACCGCAGAACAACAGAAGATAGATATATAGATAGATATACTGTATACTTTATCGAACCAAAAAGGAAATTGTGCATTGGTCCCTTGCTTGCAATCATACAAACATAGGACATTTAAAAGATTAAAGCATAATTATAAAAGACAATAAAAACATTAAAATCATTAAAAGAGAGAATTTAAGGCACTGGTAGACAATTCTCAAGACCTCTCCCTCCCTCCTCCTCCCCCCTGCTCCTCCCTGATGTGTCTTATACATAGACTGTATATATTAACGGACAGAGTCACGCCTATCTCCGCCGTTCATAGGAGTTGGCCATGAAAAGTGCTTTCATGGAGCAATCCAAAATGGCCGCGAGTGGTCCCGCCCACAATAAAATTGTGAAAAAACGCATCTGCGCATGCGTCAGCCGGCGCAGCTTCATTCATTTAAACGAGAGACTTCAAAAATTCACCACGAGTAAGCTAGAGTGGACCAAAAAAAATTCACCCCCCTCAGCATTGACACACATGTGGAACGGAGCTTTGGGCCAAGAGCAACTTTTGGTCCATCCTGTAAAGACGTTTTTGAGAGGTCTGCTAACGCTATATGTTAGAATTGGCTAATTCTTCTTCTGGGTCCACCCCCATCGGCCCGGGGTGGTATTGCAAGCATGTCAGCGCACGTCATTTTGGCCACTTTTGAGCTGGGACCCGCCCCCACTGGTCTTATACCCGTTTCTGCAAGGTTTGAATGTTTAGCACCGCCCCCAACTCGCTCACAGGTTTCTCATTTCCACCACGCTCTCATCCCACGGAGCCATCTAGTTTTATTTGCGATCTATATGCTAACATTAGCATGAGCGCAACTTAAGCTGTACAACAATTACTGATGAAATGGTACAAAACCAACGCACTTCTAACAAAATATATAACTGAAAGATTACCGCTAGTTCCGCGTCCGAATGTAGTCCAAGCATAGATAGTCAGAGGCGGTCCCGCAGGTCTCTCCCATTGACAAGTCTCTCCAGAGGATACGATGTAAGCTAGATATGTTCACACGCGCTTGATTTATTCTTTGATCATTTTTTAGCTTTAGTTCTCTCTTCTCTTCCTCTCTGTTGTGTCGTTTGGGCTGTTTTGCTGTGTCTGCAGTTACAGCAAGAGGAGTTATAGCCAATTCTGCCAACATGCTACTGTGTTTAGCAGCGCTATGGCAGCCAGAGGACGCAGCCTCGTTCTGTGATTGGAGGAGAACGAGCGTCACGCTAAGTCTCATATAGTACAACTTGTATGAAGTAATAAGCATTTTTTTTAACTCATGAAAAAAAATCGGTTATAGCATTGTTAACACTCAGCTGGGCAAACAGACGTCCCCTCCACGCAGGCACAGGAGGGTCTAACCACAGAACCACAGAGCTCAGATGCATAGAACCATCAAACATGGACAAATGTCAAGGCTCCTTTAGGATTATCCCATTATCGTGTTGACTCTGCATCATCTGTTGTTCTTTGTCCTCCACATTATTCATACTCAGCTGCTCCTGCCGCCTCCAGTCAGCGCTAATTGGACGATAGGGTTGCGTGCTGCCGTCGGGTTTAACCGTGCTTTACATGGGTCCCCAAAGTCGCCTTGTGCCAAATGTTTGTATTCCATGTCCGCTATTTTTAACTCATTCTAAATTAAATTAAACTGAGACATTGTTTGGCAATGCCCACAAAGAGATTGTCCCACTAGACTTTACATTGGGAGTAGTTAGCACTCTCGCTTTTCGGCATGAGGGTCCAGGGTTCTAATCCCGGTCGGAACAGGGCCTTTCAGAGTGGAGTTTGCATGTTCTCCCTATGTCTGTGTAGGTTTCCTCCAGTTTCCCCTACCACTAAAAACATGTGCAATAGGTCTGGCATGTGCCTCCTGTACTGACCCCGCTCTCTGTGTGGAGTGAGAGACAAATGCCAACAATTGTAAAACTCTTTGTAACTGCATCCAAACAGGGATTCAGATCACTCCAAAATCGAATCCGTAGTTCACTGGGTCATTTCGCCGGTTCCTTCCATATTTTTTTAAGGTATGTTGCTTACTGAGAGTGACAAGGGACTCCTGCTGGTCCTAAAGTCAGAACTGAACATGGGGAGTATCGTCAAAAATAAAAAGACGGATGTGACTCAGATTTCAATACAGAAAGTAAGACCAAGAGTCAAAGTTCAAAACCAGAATATTTCATTCTCTTTACAATCAAATACAAAACTCTATTCCCTGACTCTCCCTGCTCTAACCCTTTTCAGCTCACTAACCCACAATCTCCTATCAAACATCCATCTTCTTCCCCTTAATCCATTTCTGGGTCGGGGTCAGAGTTGCCCCCAGTACACATAGCACCAGCCCCTCATTGATTCTCCTCCGGGTCCACAGGAGCTGTGATCTTTCAGCGAGGGCTTCGGGCAAAGTGGGGTTAAGCGTGTCGTCATGAAGTAGGTCTTATGATGGGCTCGAACCCACCTTTCAGACTCAGACCTTCAGGGCTCAAAGGCCAATGCTCTACCAACTGAGCCACTGTCGCCCCGAACAGTCTCACCCCGACTTCAGCTGGCTCCTTTCCAGTCTCTCGAGTCTGGTCTGGGTCTGGTCCAGTCCGGTCTCATCTCCTGCCTGGTGAGATAAGGAATACTCCCTTTCTGAAAAAAAATAAAAATTGTTTCAAGGCTGTCTATTGTCTATTGTTTTGCTGTAAACTCATGGACCTCGGACTAGAAGTATTTAAAATCTGCAACAGGAGGCAGTTTTTCAGATTCAAGCAGCTGAAACCTGGTACAGTCTTCTTGAAAATGTGAGACAAGCTTCTTCTCTGACAATGTTTAAAACCAGGTTGAAAACAGTTCTGCTTAACTGTTACAACTGAGGGATTGTATTTTTACTCTTTTTAGTTGTTCGGTGATTATTTATAATTTGAATGCCTTGTGTGACTGTTTCTATCTTATTTTGGTCAGTACTTTTTGCCTTGTGTATGAATTGTGCTATATAAATAAACTTGCCTTGGAGGTAATAAGTATGGAGTGAGCACCATAATATTAAGTGTTTATATTATTGAATGTATTTTGCTGTATACTGAGAGGTTTGTGGAGGGAGGAAATCTAGGCTCATGTCATTTTTTATTAAGATAAGTTTGAATAAGCCAAGTTCAAGCTTTGTCCTCACATGAGTCAAGATAAAGTTTGTTTTACAATATTGGAATGAGTTGTAATTGTTGTTTTTTTTAAACACAAACTTTATTAATGGCAGTTGCCTCAGCAGAGAAGCACGTACACCAGTTGTAGCAACAATAATACTTTAGGCAACGCCGTCATAACTTACTGCGATAAGATAAGCTGGTCCACTCAGGACACACGGCTTCTAAAAACAAGTGTGGCTCAGTCCAGAACAGAAATGCAGAGAGCAGTCTGTCAATAATACATTTAAACAACTAAAACAGGCTTTTTAGAGTCTATGCTCAGTATCAAACATTGCTCACATTGTTACAACGCTCAGGCATTCTTTGTTGTAGCTGTCATACGGAAAACATGGGCTTGGTGATCTAGACCCGGATTAACAACACGTTCACCTGTTTGAGCGCTTTAAAACGACGCATCATTAGTTGTACAGGTTGCCGCGGAAACCTCATTGTTTTGCACATCTGGGAGCTGGTCCGTTGTTAAGCCAGAAAATTCGTTACACATATTTGTCAAGTCAAGAAAAGAAAAAACGTTTTTATGGCCTTGATGAACTGTGAGAACATAAGCTGGAGTTGAAAATGGAAGAATTTATGGAAAAAGAAGCAATTTTTACCCACAGCTTATAAAAAATGTCTCGGCCATTTCACCGTCGAGGCCATAAATCGCTCCACATCATCTAAACTGAAAGTGTAGCTTCAATCTAAAGTAAGCTGCAGAATTTTGATCATTTGTTCAACTCGGGTCCAGGTCTAGGGTCTGAACGTGAACAAAATGATATGACAGAGTTTCACATCTTTTTTTCCCCCCAATTGTTTGACACTGTTTTAGCATTGGCCTGATCCAAAAAGTCAAAGACACCCAAGACATATAATCACTCCACATCATCTCAAGACATGTAGCATTGTAAATCCATAGTGATGCAAGACATTCCTGTGTTATTAGACAGAGACACAGTGTTCTCACGGATCATATTCATTACAATTTTAGATTTTCCTCCATCAGAACTATGTCGAGGTGGGTCAGGGAGATGCCGAGTGCAGCCCGGGTGACAGTGGCTCAGTTGGTATGAATCTGAAGGTCGAGGGTTCACGCCCACTGCGAGACCTTCCCCCACCGACTCCCATGGATGTCTGTTGTCGTTGTGTCCTTGAGCAAGACACTTTGCCTAAAAGTAGCAGGGAACTGAACTGACATTTCCCCACTGTGGGACTTCTTAATGTTGCAGTATGTAAGATTTTTCAGGTCAAATCATCATTAAAAGGCCCTAATCTGTCATAATAATAAGCCGCTCTTTTCCAAAAGTTCTTCAACTGATAACAGCAGTTCAGAGATATTTGATTTTCCAAATTAGTTTTACAGCCCCTAAATCTTGTTACTGTTATCTTTTTGATGTCCCACCCTCCACCGTTTCACCAATCAGAACTCACCTCTCTTTATGATTCTTACTGGTGCTTTATTTATTGACCTCACCAAAGCTTTTGATTTGGTCGATCATTATTTGATTTTAGACAAGCTTCACTCCATTGGCCTGGAGCGGCCCTCACTCCTCTGGTTTATTTCCTATCTTCATCATCGTCAGCAGTGTGTGTTTTTTAATGGTAGCTACTCAAGAGTTTTCATTTATTGAGAGAGGGGTGCCACAGGGCTCATCACTTGGTACTCTACTGTTCTCCATATTTTGTAATGATCTTCCCCTTGCATGTACAGACTGTCAGATCCAACTTTATGCTGATGATACAGTAATCTATTCATCCAAAGCTAATATTGCTGATATCCAACACTCTATTCAAAATTACTTCAATTCAGTTAATTTATGGCTACAATCTAACAAATGATTACCTAACGAATCAAAAACAAATGTTTTGCTATTCCAGAAGCGAGTGTGTCCTGTTTCCGCAAATGAAATCGTGTTTTCAGACATGTCTCCAGTTCCAGTTGGAGATCGGTTTAAATATCTCGGCTTATGGCTCGATCCTTCTCTGTCATTTAATATTCATATACAAACAATTACAAGCAAAATTTCCTATAGTTTAAAATTACTTTATCAATCGATTAACTGTTTTAGTTTATCAGTAAGGAAGAGGATCATTTCTCAACTGATTCTCCCCATTCTTGACTACTGTGATATAATTTATCAAAACACTACAGCCTCTGACTGTCTCTTAAAACTGGCTGTGCAGGTTCATCCTCTGCTGTCCGTTCAGAACCCATCACTGCCTGATGTACGAGCAGCTGTCGTGGCTCTCTCTGTCCTCCAGACGTCAGTTACATTGGCTATTGTTTATTTTCAAATGTATTTATCTCAGTTTTCCAGGATATTTAAAACAATATATGATTTCTTTCCAATCCTCGTACAGTTTGCGTCATGCAAATCAATCTTTTTTTGTCGTCCCAAGAGTGAAAAAAGAAGCTGGAAAACATGCATTTGAATTTAAAGCTCCGTCTGACTGGAACAGTTTGCCGTTGTCCATTTGCTCTGTAACTTCTCTGCCTCTGTTTAGATCCGCTCTGCTACAATATCTCCAGAATTCATGTAAATGTTTTTGATCTTAGGTTATGAGACCTAATCTTGTCTTTACTGTCTCCTAACTATTTATTAGTTATATACTAGTTATTTCTATTATTAATAGTATTATTCTTATTTAGTGTAATTACAGTACAGTCACAGCGTGTGCGTGTGCGTGTGTGAGTGATTGAGGGTTTATGTGTGTGTATTTTTTATGGTTGCTTTTTTTTTTATGATTTTCTTGTATTTTTGTTTTGTTTGCATCTGTTTTGCAGTATATGTCACTTTGTGAAATCTCGAGGACCCCCTCGAAAATTAGATGGTTCATCTCAAGGGGCTCATCCTCTAAATAAATAAATAAATACATAAATAATAATCAAATCATTAACGACAAAACAAGGAATAGAACCAGGATTTCTATCTTTGTGAAAAAGGTGTTGGTTATACATTTGTTGTTGACAAAACTCTTGTCTATTCAGCTGTTATGGTCCCAGCTGGATTCGTCTGCATATCTGGCAACCTGAGTCAGGGAGAGTGGGAGAGGCTGCAGTACCACTTTTGGGCAGATTTTTACACATTGCTCCTCTTTGTGCATTTTGTTTAAAAAGAGCATGACAAAGTTGCACATGATGACATCATCAAAGTCTCCAAACCAGCCTGTGTTTTGTTTTGGTGATAACCACGACTCTTATGGTGGACTTGACATACATTTCCAGTCCTTTGTGTAATCTTACCTAGAATCTCAAACAGGAGGCCAAATTCCTTGATGATCCCCAGAAGGTCACAGCTGCAGGAGCGCACAATGAAACCAGCAGGCTGCACACCACCACACACACACACACACACACGCGCATGCGCACACGCACACGCGCACGCACACACCACACACATACACACACACGCACTCATACACACACACACACACACACACACACACACCCACACACTGGAACACACCACCGGACACACACGCATGCACTGGAACACACACACACACAAATTAAAATCAGTCACAACATGTGTGGTTATTAGTGGTTAAATGTTAAAATGAAAAACAAATAATGATCTAGAATTTGTAACATCATCATAATTATGGATAAATACCACAAACATAAAAACAAATGGCAAATAAAATCTCATTTCCTAAAAACATCTAAAATTGAACTCTGCGTGTATTGTGCGTCCCTGTCATTATTATGCCTAGCGTACATCGGACTGGCAACTGATTAAATCCGTCGCCTATGAGTTGCTGCCCCGCACACATCGACAATGTGGCGAAAAAGGGCAACTCCTTAGCAGGCCAGTCTCGGGAATAACAGGGAACAACTCATGGGCGACGGATAGAAATCAGTTGCCAGTCCGATGTACGCTAGGCATAAACATGACATAAACAAGGACATGATGACAGCCAACATCAGTTAGTCGTGAAGTAGGTCCCGCCTGTCACCCCCATTTAAAGAACTCATCACTGAAATTATATGTGATGATGTCTTAAAATATTTTTCTAAATGTTTGTATGCCTTAATTAATGTTGGTTGTTTTTGTTTGTTTGTGAGGTTATCAGTGTTAGATCTAAAGAAATCAATTTTTTTTTAGAAGCAACAATAGTAATTTGTAACTAATTCAATTTTCAACAGACTTTGAGAATAAATAATAAATTAATAGAATAAATAAATAAATAATACACTCACCAATGATATAAAGTTGCAAATTGTTGAGTTCAAATATACAATTGTTAGTTAAAAATGTGTACCTACATTTGCTATATTAAAATTAGACTTTAGTCATTTATATACCGCACTTAAAAATTAAAACTTGTCAAATCAGAGGTTCTGCCACCCCACATGGTTCAGGGATGTAGTGACACAGAACATAGCGTCCAGTCTGAGTTGGTTTAATTTGAGCAGCTGATTGGCTCCATATTCTGTATCAAATGCGTAGCACAAGATTTGATTGCATCCTGAGGACAGCAGTCACCACAAGTAATCGAGGGCGGTATGTATAGGCCGCTCTTTAACATGCCACTGCGCAGCGCAATTAGAACACACTCAATATTAATGCACACTTTGAACCTTCACAGGGAAAGACAGATGCAACAGCACAGGTGACAGCTGACCACACACACACACACACGCACACACACAGTTGCAGCAGCAGCAGCAGCATGGGGACCTGTGTAACGGTCGGACTCATAAGGGTCTAAATATCAGTAAATATAAATACTGTACATATATCTAAGCTACATAAGGTGAGGTTACACACAGTGAAGCTGATATAGATAAGGCGCTCCTATCTTTGCAAAATAGGGTTGATGGTTTGATCATAATGGGCACAGTGGCTCAGTTGGTAAAGCATTGGCCTTTGAGCCTGAAGGTTGTGGGTTTGAGCCCAACACAAGACTTTCTCCATCGACTCCCACTCCCACCACTCTACTGTCGTTGTGTCCTTGGCAAGACACATAACCTCTGGGAACACCAGGTGCCACAGTAAGGTGGCTGTGGTTGTAAGGTTGTGTCCTTAGGCAAGACACTCAACCCCCATTGGCTAGCAGGGGTGGGAACCTCAGGTTACCTCACGATACGATACAATACGAGATACAAAGCTCACAATAACAATTATATCACGATATGACGATTATTGATAGGTCAGAAATATACCTACGATTATTTATGGCATAAATAAAAGAAAAATGTTAAGTGAAAAAATACACTTAATTTCATGATAAATGTAATGGAGATGCATAATGTAGCTATATATTAAGTATTGATACTAATTAGAAAAATGAATCGATACTTGGCAAAAGCATATCGATAATCGATCGCGTGAGAAAATATCACGATACATCACCATTCACCATATTGATATATTGTCACACTCCTATTTCCTAGAATGCGTCTGGTGTGTGTGTGAAGGGTTTTTGGTGGTGGGAGGGGCCGACGGCACAGACTGATTGCCTCGCTTATGTCAGAGTGCCCCACGGCAGCTGTAGCTACAGTAGGTCCATTTCTATGTTTGGAGGGTGGTAATGAGACCTGCACACAGTCCCTCCGATCCTCCTGCAAGTGGTGGGTCCACAGGAAGATCTTTCAGCGGGGTCTTTGGGCATGGGGTTAAGTGTCTTGCCCAAGGACACAACGACAGCAGTGGGAGCAGTTGGAGTGGGTCTCGTGGGGGGATTGAACCCACGACCTCCAGGCGCTAAAGGCCAATGCTCTACCAACCAAGCCAGTGTCACCCCCGTAGACATTTTTTTGATATATATAATTCGAACTACATGAGGACCAAAATTCAAATAAATGTAAAAAGCTGTTGCTGTTTACTGTTTAAAGTAAATTAACAAGTGAGTTCTCGGTTGCACTACGCGGCGTTGAGACTAATGTTGTGTAAATAAATACTTGACCCCAACCTTCTGTTTACTTTCTCAGCCATCTTTCCAGCTTCACTCTTTGCCAGTGTCAGATCGCCCCCGCGGTTTCGTTTGTCACGGCTGCCAAAGCTAAAGACCGGCTTTAGTGGATACTCCCTTCTGTTTGTTTAGTCATTTGTGCCAAAACTAAAGCGTCTGAAGTATTTTCGGTGTCCTCTATAAAGGACAAAGGTAAGATAAGTTAACTCACTCAGTGCCCCCATCTTTGGCCTCATTCTTGCTTCTGCTGCTGAGCCTGTGCAGCTTTATCTGCCACTGGAAAATATATCCAAAAACAGATAGTGGGATGACGCCTCGCCAGCCCTGACAAGACAAACATAACGCATGAATGTGTGGGATGAGTGTCAGCATCTAAATCTAGGTCACTACCAACTGGGTATCAAGAGGAGGTCCAACATTAGCCGTATCATAAAGCTAGTCAGCGTCTGTACTTTGTGGAAACGTAGAGAATTTACCACAAACACAATGCTTCGGCTTCACTTTTATCGCTGTAGCATTAAAAGTATGCTTGGGTTTTCAGCGGAGCACCTCTCCCTGGGCTCTCTCTGGTCTCTTTCTGGTCTCACTCTCTGGTCTCTCTCTCTGGTCTCTCTCTCTGGTCTCTCTCTCTGGTCTCTCTCTCTGGTCTCTCTCTCTGGTCTCTGTCTGGTCTCTGTCTGGTCTCTCTGGTCTCTCTATTTGTATTTTCCAAGGTACTCTAGATTGGAAAATACAAATAGAATAGGTAGTTCCTAATTTTTACTCGTAAAGCACTAATACAAGGGACTAAAGCACAATTTCCTTCAGCTCAATAAAGTATTTATCTATCGATGAACTCAAAAGTTTAAAACACAAAATGGCTGACCAAGAACATGACCTCTTTCAACAGAGACATTGGCAAAAGAAATGTGTATTAACTGAATAAAACCAGGTTAAAAGTACAGAAATAAAACAAACACAAATGACTCTGTGAAATGGATGAATTCAGTTAATACACAATTCATTGACATTTATTTTGCAAATGTCTCTGTTGAAAGAGGTCATGTTGTGCTTTAGTCCCTTGTATTAGCGCTTTACGAGTAAAAATGAGTAACCAGCAATGCCACCGCGGTCTAGTGCCTTGGAATATACAAAATAAAGTTTTACTGAGGAGGCAGAGACAGACCCGTTCAATATTACAAAATGTTTATTTTTTAATGAAACAGTGGAGAAAGTAGAAGAAACCCACCTTCTACACACCGTGTATGTATAAATAATAACTGTTTGACAACGAGCAACACAAACTTGTGGGGGAAAAAATGATACAAAAAACATTCTAATTTCAAGATTACTGTGATGCGATTTTGGATACACAAAGTATTCTATTAAGAGTCAGTCACATTGTAAAATAAAACAAGTAGCAACTTGGTAAAGGCGTTAAATATAGACAAAATACAGCATGTATTCTATAAAAAGACTAAAGATCGAAATGAAATAGCCTGACTACTGCTATAGCATTTCCCATTGACAACAGGACCTCGGCCGATGGTCCATGGGCCGTGTTGACACGACTAAACTGCTGTTGTTGGGATCGGAAATGCCAGGGTCAACAGCGAGTGCATTACACCTCGGGGACTGACTAAAGCTGGCTTCAGGTCTCCAAACTTAGAGGGATTGTAGGGAAGGATAAACTGGGAAGACTGAGGAGGAAATAATATCTTGCTTGAAAAACTGTTTATTTTTTTTAAACACAAAAATATGTTAGAAGAATTTCAAAGTAAACATGGTCTTGGTAAAAGGCTTGTTCGTAACTGGGATTTATTTAAAAAAAAACATTTCAATCTAGTAAGATGCCTCAGTCTTATACAATATAATATCTTTGAACTCTGTGCTGAAACATTGACATCAAACATCTGATCTTTGGTCCAAATGGCTTTATTCAGCAACTTGAATGGATCAGAGTAAACATTGCTCCCTCTAGTGGGATAAATGTAACCTGGCTCTGCCAGACCCTTGTAGTTCCGCCATGCTCCACCAGAGGCGTTTGGCTGAACCACATGGGTCTGGCAGAGCCAGGCTAGGATAAATGTGCATACAACCAAAAATATGATCCAGGTTTTGTTGGTTTTGTTATGAAAATAAAAGTCTTCCTCAACTCACTCATGCACAGATTTTGTGAGCTGAGTTCACTGCTTTAAACCAGAAGAACGAAGTTAGGAAGTGAAGGTTAGAAGGGTGACAATTCATTATTATATACTGTCTATGGCTGGACGTCATTTGTAACAAAACATTGAATTAAAAAATAACACATTCTTTATCTAGTGAGTCGTTTTATATATATTACATAATTTAAATTGATTTAGTAATTTATTATTAAAAAGTATGAATTAAGTGAATATTGACCAATTATCAATTGAGAGGAAAGTATGATTACTTTGTGGTTTCAATTACAAAGATACAATGCAACAAAATGTGATCATGATTTGATAATATTTGGAAAATTGCGTTTCACTATTTTTTACTGCTATTACCAAATAGTCTAAAGCCATCCAATGGTTCCTGTGTGAGTGTTTTGTAGGCAACAAAAGTCTTCTTGAGTTATAGCTTAATCCAATTTGACTTTGCTTGCCCTGGTTGCTATAAATCCATCAGAGGTTAAATACATGTCACTGAACAGTCTGACACTCCTTTCACACACAGACTTTTGAGGAAACAATGAACAAGAACTGAATGAGACAATATTGCGTTCACCGTGTGCACATGTTATTGTAAAGAAGACAAAATGGTGATAGTTGGATGTTTTGCAGGCTTTGTAAATGCTTTCCTCTGAAATAAAAATTAAAAACTTGTTTGTGTATTTGATCTCTCCGTCCACACTTCTCAAAGTGTGCGGGGCTCTCTCTAGTGGTACGCCAAAGAATCACTGATTTAATTATTTTAAATTTAAACTGGTTCTCACCCCTGCTCCTCGGAGCTTACGTTACTCACATTTCCTGTTCAAATCTTCCTCTAAATGGGCGTAGCCTGGAGGACTAAAGGGGGCGTGAACGAGACTGGGCCGTTTACATTGCTCTGGGCGGGGGGCTGCTGACGTCAGGTCGTGCTTCAGACGTCAGGTCCAACTTCTGTGCCAGTGTTGGCGCCAGATTCAAAATTCAAATGTAGTAATACAGGTCGCCAGCAGATGGCGCCTCACAGACGGTTTTAGGCAGAAAGTTTAACTTTCAGCTAATTTGCACCAAAGTGACAAGATTATGACCAGGATATGTAGACAACACTATTGGACACTCATTTATACCGTTTATCAGCAAAAAAAAGTGGATTTGAGGGTGAGTTGTCCTTTAACCAGGAAAGTCCCATTGAGATTAAGAACCTCTTTTTCAAGGGAGTCCTGGATAAAAATAACATACAATTACAGATTATAAAACTGTTACATACAGATTATAAAACGGTCACATACAATTTCATAAAATTACTGATTATAAAAACATTCGATGAGGATGTCTCAAGTGCTCTCAATCTGGATCTAAAAGCATTCAATGAAATAAATTCAGATTATTTCCAGTCTTTTTGCAACACGTTCCATGTAGAAGGAGCAGCAAATACAAAAGCTTTTTTTCTGTGCAAAAGGAACAGAGAGTAACAAAAGATCATTTGATCCAAACCATTTGAACATGTCTCTGTGAGTAAATGGCAGATGTAAGCCTTAGAAACAAAAGTGCAGTGTCCAAACCTTCTGTGGACAAAGATCCCACTCCAGAGTATCATTCACAGTGGTGAGTTTTTTGTTTTAAAGCTGCACTAACTGACTTTGGGATTTTGAAGCCGCAGACTCGCTGGCCTCGCTCTTTCTGCTCCCCTCCCCGCACCCACGAAGCTATCGCCCCCCACACACACCCACTGTTGGGACGGAGCTAGCGTCTCCCAATATGGATAATACATGAATATGGATTTTCACGTGGATGGCGTGACCATAAAACGATAGAACCGGGAAGCGCGGAGGAACGAGATTTTCTTTTGGATGGCTGTCTCGCTGTGTAAGCAGTAACCGGTGATGAAGACACGAAGTTTCAGGTTAGCCTCTGCCGCTTGTTGTGCTAACTCAGCTGTCTGTGCTAACGGACCTGGAGATTTCTCACGAAAGTGGGGGCTAGTGGTGCGCTGTGATTGGTCACAATCTGCGACCCGAAACACATCTCTTCCTTGTTTCATCAAAACTCGATCTAAAATATAATGTCACGCCAGCACAAATCTGCGCTACTTTTTCTTCAAAAGGACGTATATCCCAATGCACTGCATGGACATGGATAGCATTTTCGTAATGAATACAAAAATAAAGTCAGTTAGTGCAGCTTTAATGGATTAAACTGTTTGAATGGGCATACAGTACAATGGTATTTTTATGACCAAATGATGTACCTTTTCTAGTACTTAGAACCTCTATACTTGCTGTATTTATATTTCGCCTTTTTAGTTTTTCTTTCAAAACACTACATAGACATATGAAGTATGGCTCGTGGCTTGTATTACTTTCTCAATTTAAATAAGAATCATGTTTGTTCTCCAAAATAGAATACAGGCACAAACTGTCAAGAGGGACCTTAGCACTTTTGCTCTGGGCCTCCAACACGGCTCTGCACGAAATAGTTTTATACCCTAGTACCTAAGAGTGGTACTTTTGCCACCTGTTCTAATGAGATCCGGTGGTCAATAACGTGATGAGTCGTATGGCTTCTCTGCAAATGACGTCACACATGGGTTCAGTTGCCATATTGAGGGGATGACAACCATTGCCAACAAATGACCTGCCCAGTCCCTTCATCATATGTGCGATTTTTTTTCTCTATTTTAATTAGTTTTCTCCCAAAATATGGCTTGTTGGTGTTGTGTATAAAAGGCTGTTCTAGTAAAACATGACACTCTGGGATTAATTGGTGGGATATATGGGGAGAGGGGGGCTGTTTGGGGTAATGTCAATCCTGAAAAATGAACAAATAAAATAAAATACTGTCAGATTGTATTATTTATTATCATTATTTGTAATTGTAAATGCACTTACTTTGTCACTATAGTACCAAATATAAAATGGGTAAATAATGACTGTACCTAATATCAGGCTTGTTCACATCAACATATCACAAAATTATTCCCAGGGCTACTTAAAGGAGTAGCTCTCTGCCTTTATTGTCCCGGGAATGTAGCTCTCAGGGTGAAAAAGTTTGGAGACGCCTGATGTAAGCGAACTCAACCATCCTTGTTGAGTTTCTCCCTGTAAGCTTTCTTCTCGTTCTTATATTGAATGTCCATTTTACAGATAAAAAAAAACAAAAAAATAGCACAACAATGACTGCGCTCTCTTGTTGATTGACAGCCGCTATCCCCTCAGTATGGGCCCGGATGCGCTTTGGTCACGTGACTACAAAAAGAGCCATAGATTGCTCGAGTACTATCCTAACAGTGTGACTCACGGTGACAGACTGAAATAACTATGCCATAAAAGCGCTAACCTGTCCGTTCCCATTCTCTCTGTGACTGCTGTGTCTGCCGCTTCACCCCCTGCCGCATGTGACGCAGGCCGCCCGGAACACGAACACACCCACACCGCGCACGTCCCACGGTCCCTCGGCTTTGCTTTATGGTCTATATATGAACGCGGTCTGGTCCACCTCCTTCTCTTCCGCTTCCCCCGGGGTGTGGTCTGTCTTCAGGGGTCTCCTTCTCGGTTTCTTCGCACTTTTACTTCTGGACGTGAGGGTTGTTTGCGACCAGAGCGCACTGCTTTTACACCGGAAGAAGGAAAAGGTATGAATAATAGTTACAATGTTAATTTATAATAATAAGAAAATGCAACATCACAGCCTTCATTCTCACTGATGATGATTCAAAATTAGTTATTAAATTAAATTGATTAGCTTAATATTAGCCAATAATAACACTGGCTAAACGTGGACTACTACTTAGGTTAAATAATGTATCTTAACTCCTATTTATTTAAATGGTGGACATGACAATACATCACATATCACTTTTACATTTTAAATAACTAGTCTTGTGACACAAATGAAAAGGAGCAGAAAAATGAATAATAATCTTATCTTATTTGTATTCTATTTAGCCAACTAAGTTTCTCCATGAGTAGATTTCTGTGGCTTTGCCGGGAATATTCTACTGCATCTGGAACTGTATGGAGGTTGTAGAAATCCCTGTTAAGTTACATGTCAGATCTCTGTATGCTGCAAATAATTTGAATTGAAATTTTGCAAGGTAGAAGTTATATCCTGTGAGCTCTTCTACCATATTTTGCTTTTTACAAACTATCGGGTCTAATCAGTGTTTGTTTTCAGGTAAACCACACGTCAGCCATGGCCTCCACCTCAAACACAGCCTTTGCCTTGGAGCTGCTCCGCACTTTGAGCCAGGACAAGCCCACAGGAAACGTCTTTGTGTCTCCTTTGAGCATCAGTTCAGCTTTAGCCATGGTTTACTTGGGTGCTAAAGGTACCACTGCCACTCAGATGGCCCAGGTAAGAACCCTGACACAGACATACCCATAGAAAAGGCGCGACGGTCTGCAGGTGTGTCAATGTGTACTTTGACCTCGGTGAGCAACAAGATATGAAATGTTCCCCATAGAAAGCACAGGCTGTAAAACTGGACTCGGGCGTTTCAAATCCATGTCAAAGCTTGTGTGTGGCTTTTTCATGATTGATCTACATTAAATCCCTGTGTTATTTCAATCTGCTCTTGCAATGACTTATTACTCTACACAATAGTATTACACAACTATTACACTGGACTAGTGTGGCATGACAACGTACTGTATGTATAACCCAACCCTAACTCTTACCCTGACCTGTAAAGTTTTCAAATATGCAAATAAATGCACTTGCCGCACATATCACATGTTTTAACGTGTATATGATCTCTGCTTCTATTGTAAATTGTAAAACTGCTCAAATAAAACTACTACTACTGCTACTGCTACTAAATAAGTGAACAAAACTTGTGTTCGAAAATGTCATGTGTAAAGTTATTATATGTGGCTGATCTATTCTTATTATTATCCTTCATTTTGTGTTATTCTTTATAGGCTCTGTCGTTCAGACAAGGAGAAGGTGTCCATGCAGACTTCCAGACTCTTAACAGTCAAATCAATGGACCTGCTACTTCCTACATCCTAAAACTTGCCAATCGTCTCTATGGAGAAAACACTTATAACTTCCTTTCTGTGAGTGCTGCTTCTCTCTTCTCTTTCTTCTCAGGTTAAATACATTTATTCAGATTATTTTACATTCTCGCAGGAATTCCTTGAGTCCACACAGAAGTTCTATCAGGCAGATCTGAAGTCGGTGGATTTTATGGGTGCTCCGGAAGAATCCAGAGCAGAGATCAATAGCTGGGTGGAAGAACAAACGGAAAGTAAGTTTTATTCTGTAGTAAGAGTACATATTTTAAATTAAATCATATAATGCATGTCTTTCTTGTGTCTAGACAAAATTAAAGACCTTTTGAAATCTGGAACCGTCAGCACAATGACCAGACTGGCCTTAGTCAACGCTATTTACTTCAAAGGAAACTGGATGAATAAATTTGATGCAACGAACACCAAAGAAATGCCTTTCCACGTCGATGGTGTAAGAGCAAAGTGGCAGCTGTCAATACCGTCGCCTTATTGTATATCTACTCCAGTTTAAAAATATGCAGCGATGTTATGATTATGTTCCATTGTTTCTTTTCAGAGTGAGAAGAAAACGGTGCAAATGATGTACCAGATGAAGAAACTGCCCTTCAATTACATTCCTGAACATGGCCTTCAGATCCTGGGACTGCCGTATGTGGACGAAGACCTGAGCATGTACATCCTTCTGCCCGAGGACACTGCGGCCGGGACACAGGGTGTCCGCAAGGTAAACTATTAACCTTTATACTTTCACATTCTTTAATTCTAGATTTTTACTTCATAAACGAACATTGAATGCACACATTATATATATCAGGCAGACCACCCCCGGGGGTCACTCTCTTTAAGAACAGGGACCAGAGGCTGTGTCCTCAGCCTCCTTCGTCAAATCCAATCCTAGTTTCTGGAGAGGAGACTTTGACTAAGCACAGCTAGAACAGCTGTTTTATAAAACAGCAATGTTCTTGACCAGTCATCAGCCTGAAGCACCACACCTCTTTCAAGTCTGCGTGTTGAATAGTTTGTTAATTGTGTAAAATTTAGATTGTTTATGCAGTAAAATTTTGATCATGATCAATTTATTTGATCATTTGGTAAAATTCTTGTGTTATTTTCAGATTGAGAGCATTCTAACACAAGCAAATCTTGATGAGTGGACTGATCCTGCTATGATGGAGTCTGTAGATGTACATGTCCATCTTCCCAAATTCAAGTTGGAAGAAGACTATGAGCTGAATGAACCACTCGCCAAAATGGGCATGGTGGATGTTTTCTGTTCAGCCAAAGCTGATCTGTCTGGGATGAACGGTGAAGGTGGACTCTTCCTTTCCACCGTGGCCCATAAGGCCTTTGTGGAGGTGAACGAGGAGGGCACAGAGGCGGCAGCAGCAACAGCTGGAATGGTGGCTTTCTGTATGTTCAGAGAGGAGCACTTCACAGCAGACCACCCATTTCTGTTTCTCATCAGGCATAAGGCCACCAACTCCGTACTTTTCCTTGGAAGATTCATGACTCCTCAGTAGATGCCACCAGCACTGCTGAAATTGCACATTCAAATGCCAATATAAGTAAAACATGCACTTACTAAAAGCTTACATTTTATATCCAGAATATTATGGATTGAACATAGAGCTTTCAAAAATGAATGCCTTAAATGCTTTTTGTTTTGTTTCATTTTTTGTGTCAACAGACTTGAAAATATCTTACTTGAGACACTAGAGTAACAGAAACATTGTTGGCAAGCTTATTTGTTCAAAATCATATACAAAATCACAATAATCCTTATTAGTTTACTATCAGGATATATCATATATTGTGACCTATGTATCGTGATGCATACCACATTTCCAGACAGAAAGCAATGCACTCCGATTCAATTGTAATAATAATAAATACTGTTTTGCCTTGCCTCCAAGGATAATAAACTGCAGTGAAATAATCATGTATATTCATTTATTTTAAACTACTTTTGTCCAGCTCACGAGGGTAACGCACTACAGATAATACTTTGGTCTGCCTAATTACTTTTATTTGTACAAATAAATAAACCAGCTGCTAAATTTAGCTGGTGATTGTTGCAAGACGTTCATATCATAAATTCAATATAAGATATATTAAGTTATATTATATAAGATATATAAGTTATATTATATCTAAAACTAAAACTACTTTGGACTAAAAATATGTCCAATAGTTCTGGCATGCGCCTCCTGTACTGGCCCCGCTCCCATCTCTGTGTGGAGTGAGAGACAAATGCCCAAAATTAACAATTGTAAACCGCTTTGAGACTCAGATCTGCAGTGAAAAGGCGGTATATAAATAAAGATTACTTACTACTACTTACTACTATTACCGAGTTCATCAGTTTAGTTACGCTTATTACCGCTTATTCTCACTAGATGGTGTAAACACTCCATCCACCAGTTACCGCTTTGGTCTAATGGTCTTTATGTTGAAAGTCCACACCGGAAGTTAGTTAGAAAGGTTTCCGGTGTGCTCACGAAGTGCTAAAGAGCCCAACTCTGCTGTCGTTTTTACTTCGCATTGCTCATTTTACGCTTTTTATGATAATTCTTCGGACCATGTAAGTGACTTTATTATGCAAGGTATAACCACCTATTCAAATGACTGTAAATGACTGGACCTGGACTGGGTCACAGCCATGGATCTATTAGGTCACGCCTAGTGCAACTTCACCTGCACTTCCGTACACGCACCCATATGGTCACTCCTCAACCCCGTATTGTTGTTTCTTGTGGATTTGGCAAAGAGATGAGCTGTCAGGAGAACAACACGGGTCCCATGAGGGTGCTGGTGACCGGAGGGTCCGGGTTGGTCGGCAAAGCCATTCAGCAGGTGGTGAGAGAAGAGGGGGCTCTACAAGGAGAAGAATGGTTTTTCCTTTCCTCCAAGGATGCAAACCTCATGTGAGTCAATACACTGTTGGAATTACAGTTGTTAGTCATGTTTGAAAATTTGAAAATGTCTGTATTTGTCATCAGGAGCCTGGAGGAGACCAAAGCTGTGTTTCAGAAATATAAACCAACACATGTCATCCACCTGGCTGCTATGGTTGGAGGTCTATTCAAAAATATGAAATGCAATCTTGATTTTTGGGTGAGTATCTGTATGATCAAAGTCAAGTGTTTATATCAGTGGTCGGAGTAAAACTGTGGAATCAACTGGAATATAAAATAAAAAGTTCTGCAAACATCCACATGTTTAAGAACAAAATTGAAATTGAACAGTGAAATTGTGTGAAATTAGAAAAAGACTAAAAAGACTAGAAAATAACTATATAAACACACAAAAAAAATAGAGTCCTTTTTTGTATTTCATTTGTACATGCTTAAAGAAAAGGGCCGGCAACATAAGATTATTTTCTTTTTTCTGTCCGTTTTCATTTGTGTGACAGGACTACAAATATTTAAAATGTTATCGTTATATGTGATGTATTGTCATGTCCACGAATGAAGATCAATTGATCCTTTATTCGTCCCACAATAAATAAGTTATTCTAGGTCTGTGTCAAAAATGTATAGATCAACACCAAGTTCTGTGGCCTCGCCTTTCATTATTTTTTATTATCTTATCTCTAGACTTTGTTTCAGTCTGTTGTGTGCAGTAGACTAATGTGTTTATGTATGGTTTATTACATACTGAGGTATAGTCCAAGCAAATAGCCGTTTTGATTTGATTTAACTAAATTTCACAACCTTAGTCATAATAAAACAAGAATGTTTACATTTTGTCTTCCAGAGAAACAACATTCACATCAATGACAACGTGCTGCAGGTGGCTCATGAAGTTGGTGTAGTGAAAGTTGTATCCTGCCTCTCAACATGTATTTTCCCAGACAAAACCACTTATCCCATCGACGAAACAATGGTAGGACCTCACAAAATGAGTTTATAAAAATATATACAGTAACTAAATATGACGTGAATGAATTAATACTTTATTTCGAGCCATGGCAAACAAGAACAAAGAACAACAAAATAGAAAAATACATGATAATATACAAATATACAGTATGTTTTGTTTTTTGCTATATTAACAAAAATCCAGCTCAAAAAAGTGGGAAGAAGTTAAGACTTTTAAACTCCTCCCACCCCTTATTTCTTATTCTAAATTACTGCATATTACCCATATTATATGAGGTACACCGGATTATAACATTGATGTACTTGATGTATACAGTGACTGTATAATATGTTTATAATTATCAAGTTTCCCGAATGTCTTTCAGTATCTCAGTTTTTACTATTCATACCATCATCACCGTATATTATCCATATTTATAATTTCATATACCATCTTCCAAACATAGGCTAATTCTTAACAGTAGTAGTATTAAATAGCCTGATTAGCAAATCCTTTTTTAATTTTGCTAAAAATAAAATCAACAATACCTCCCACCCACTGCACAGGACTGTAGAGGAGCTGAGGAGCTCCTTCAGTGGAAGACTGAGACACCCTCAGTGTAGGAAGGAGCGCTACCGCAGGGCCTTTATCCCCACCGCTGTCAGACTGTACAATAAGTCACTTTAAATGATCACTGTGTGAAAACCTGCACTGCTATTGACACTTGTCACTTTTGTTGTACATAATTGTCACTTTTATTGTACATATATCCTGCATGTTACATGTTTGCACATTTCCTCCTTTTGCACAATCTGAGTGTTCTATCCATGCCAAATGTGACATGTAAATTTCTCCTCTGTGAGATAAATAAAGCACATCTTATCTTATCTTATTACATTTGCAGATCCATAACGGTCCACCGCATGAATCAAATTTTGGATATGCTTATGCAAAGAGAATGATTGATGTTCATAACAGGTATTTGCATCCGCCTTCCTGCACGTTTTATTTTGAAAGAACCAAGCACACGTGTTTCTGAATTCAAACTGTGTGCATTCATATTCACAGAGCATATTTTCAACAGTACGGACGTTCTTACACTGCTGTGATTCCCACAAATGTTTTTGGTCCCCATGATAATTTCAGTATCGAGGACGGCCATGTACTACCTGGGCTCATACACAAAGCTTATCTCGCCCATAGTAAGTTTTTCCATGAAATTCTAGTTGTGTGGCAAGTTTTTAATTCCGTCTTGTAATTCTCAGAGGATGGAAAACCTTTGGTTGTGTGGGGATCTGGATCTCCAAGGCGACAATTTATTTACTCTTTGGATTTGGCTCGACTTTTCCTGTGGGTTTTAAGAGATTATCCAGAAGTAGATCCCATAATTTTATCTGGTAAATATAAATAATGACGTATTCACTGTATTGTTTGTCAAATATAGATGTTCCCATTTAAAATATTTTTCAGTTGGTGAGGAAGATGAGGTCTCGATCAAAGAGGCGGCCGAAGCAGTTGTGCAATCTCTTGATTTTAAAGGTGAAGTGGTGGTATCCTTTTGAACTGTGCAATTTGTCCAGCAAGATATCAGTGTCGTCCTTCTGCATGTACCTTATAGTGGGGGCGGGTCCTGGCTCTAAAAAAGTCCATGAGCACGTGCACTGACATGCCGCAATCTCACTCCTAGCCGGTGGGGGTGTACCCAGAAACAGAATTATCCAATGCTTTTGTATGCCATTTTCTTTCCTCTAAAGACGTTTTAGGTCCAAAAGTGGCTCAACACTACCATCCAGATGCTTTCTATACTGAGGGGAGTATTTAGTTTAGCCATTGAACTTTTGAATACACTTGTGGTGGCCATTTTGAAAAAGTACAGGCACATTAGAGTCTATGGTACCTTAACTCTGGCCTCCAGTATGACACAAATAAATCTGATGGCCAGTTTAAGAAGACAGCCAGCAACGCCAAGCTTTGCCGTTACCAACCAAATTTCAAGTTTACACCATTTAAACAAGGTACCGGTCCCTATTCTTATAGTTGTTTTAGCCAAGTTCTTACTGTGTTTTTTGTTTGACAGCTTTGAAGGAAACGTGTGACTGGTTTGTAAAAAACTATGATACAGCCCGTAAATAAAATGAAGCGTCTTAAAATTGGCTGCAATCATAGTTGGTGCAAGGAGTGATCGTGTTACATAATTTGGCAGTGGAACCTAGAAACCTCTACTTTGTTACTATTTAGTTTAATCAAGAAGAATTTAACCCATGTAATTTTATCCACTTTCTACTATATTTTATGAAAAACCTATCAAAATAAATATTTTGTACCAATTTAAAATTGAGTTGAAATTTATTGCAAAAACATAAAAATTCATTAAATATTAAAATCTCATGGTCAAATTAAAATCTCAAGGGTAACAAGTGCTGCTAATTTACATAGGAGTTTTGTCCTCCCTCGTGCACTCTACAGTACTCCAGTCCCAGCACCGCCCTCTTTTTACAGGCTTTTCCAGCTTTGGTTGTTGCGTTGCAGAGCAGGCGACTTGTCAATGAGCTGCAAACACAAAAAACCCAAATGTGAACAAGAGAAATAACCAGCGACACATCACCATCAATGGACTCACATGTTGCTGATGATTGAGGGGTTGGGACTTGCACTTCTGGAGACATCTACCAACTCTCTTGAGTCATTCGCAGCATCACACACGCCTCCGATGTTCCTCAGGGAGAGGTTGTCAATGTGTGTCTAAAATACCACAGTCAGCAGTGATGGGAATAACGGCGTTACTAAGTAACGAGTAATCTAACTACTTTGACTGTAACTATAACGCCGTTATCATTTCCGACATCCCGTTACTGCGCGTTACTCAAGACGCACAGTGAACTTCTCTTTTTACTTTGTGATAGGACTCGTGTACGTGTTGTCATGAGAGAAGGGAGGATGACAAAACCTCAGCAATTATTGGCTGATGTAAAACATATTTCCTTTACAATCTACATGTCTACAGTTGAGAGGATGGCTCATAAATTGTGTTTTTGAAACAAATGGGTCTTAATCACACTCTACCACGGCTTGTATCACCGTGAGGCCAGCCTCAGGGGAGTGCAGAAGTCGGCTGCATACAATTCCATCGATAAGCTTTCTCTTCCTGGTTTATCTGCTAAGGACAGCAACAGGTTTGGCTAACATACATGTAACACATTTTAAGATAATTTAAAATGCACTTAGGGTAATTTTTCAATGACTATAGGAATGATAAGAAAGAGGTGAAGTGTAAGACGGTTGATTTTAGAAATTGGATGCACCCGGCTGCAGCAAAACAGGAGTTTATGGACGAGACACGCGTTTTGTTTTAGGATTACATATCTACGCTCAAACTTATCTGGACTTAAACACGGAACTGGTCTGAACCGAAGTGGCCTGTGCAGGTCATTTATAAGGTAAGACCCATAATTCATAGTTTTGCGTTTTGTATGAACAAACAATGCGGGCATGAAACATTCTGCTGTAGCCAAACAAATTTTCCACTTGATTTATATGATATATATGTTCATCTGATTGGGCTGAAGTCAGTGCTTCACCGGTGTTTCCACATTCACAGTGGCAGGTGTTGGTGTTTAGTGCTTACAGCACAGAGAGAGATGAAGAGTGAACAGGACTTCAGCAGCAAAACAGACTTTTCTAGATGGAAATATTGGCACTATTTAAACTCACTGAGGTTAAAGGTTAAAATGCGCACGTCGAGTACACATTATGTTCCAGAACAAAACGAAAAAGTAACGCAATAGTTACTTTTACTGGTAACTAGTTACTTTTATAGTGGAGTAACTCCGTTAGTAACTCAGTTACTTTTTGGGAGAAGTAACTAGTAACTATAACTAATTACTTTTTCAAAGTAACGTGCCCAACACTGACAGTCAGTAATAGTACACTTGAGTAGAAACATGCAGCATATTTACCGCTGACAGAACAGGTTTCACCAAAGCCTTTGGGGTGGAATGGTTGATTGATTCTCTATGTATCCTCCTGTGGCACGGAGACACCACTGATGTGCCCAGGTCACCTACACAAGGCAAGTTTATTTGTAAAGCACAAGGCATTGCAAGCTAGAGGCAATCTGTTTACACACATTAGCAGAGATAGTTAGTCCAGGTTTAAAAAATACAAACCTAATATGAAGCCATCTTGGTCAATGGTTTCTTCCAGACAAATCCCATTTTTTTCTCTGTCAAGTATAATGAAAAATATAATAAAATAGATTTCTTGAAACAATATTGAAGTGATATATACCTGTCTGGGGTTGAGCAGGGTGGATAAGAAAGGGGGGCAGGTTTTGGCTTTTGTGGCTCAACGGTTTCACATGGACCCAGTGGAAGAAGGACAGGAGTTTTGCATTTGCGAAGGAAAGCACAGAATTGTCTAATAAACCAGTGCCCTGTATAAAACAAATATTGATAAATGCACTGGAAAAGTGCATGACTGGCAAATGACAAATGCAAATGACCAATGCAAAACTGGAAAGGTAATGGCAGAAAGAATTGAGTGTGCTGGAGAGAGAAATGCTGGGAAAAAAGCAGGAGGGATTATTAAAGGAAATGTGAATAAACTGAAGGGGAAACAGTTAAGATGGTATAAAATGGATGAATGAATGAAACTAGAGAAAGTAGCAAAAACTATTGTACAATGAAATTTGCAGAAAAGCACAATGCACTGGTGATACAAATGCCAAAAATAAAAGCATCCTTGAGACAAAAAAAATTAGTAAAATATGTAAAAACCACAACAACAAAAGTTGGAATACTGGTTTACCGAGCGAGAGTGTGAACAGGAGGAGGCTGAGGTTGCAGAGATCCAAAGCAGGTTGCTGGTTCACCTCAGCCACTGCATTTAGGGGAACTGTGAAAAGCAGCATGGCTCGAGAGAAACCGGGACAGCGTAGAAATGTTAACAGGATTGCAGCCAGGACAAAGTAACCGGCATGAGCAAAGCACGTCCACATGGCTGTTAAACTCAACCCTGAAATGACATGGCTTTCTATGAACTTCTGCTGTAAATAAATGCACATTTGAAAGAAGTTCTCACCTGCCCATCCAAGATAGTTCTGAATCACATGAAGTTGACCCTCTATCTTGCCCTGCATGTTGTCCAAATACTGCAGAACAAACCCCAGTGTTTTATTCATGCGCTCAAGTTTTGTCATCAGATCATAGAAGTACTGGGAGGTCTGGTCCTGATACTGCAAGAACTGAGTCATACTGGTGTCTGCAGGATTACATGAAGAAATGCAATGTTTGGAAAGATGGGTTAAAGACATTTCTAGTTTTAAAATTGTATTTATTTACCTATTTTTTGATATACATCCTGAGCTTGATGTCTGACATCTGCAAGATCTTCAACTATGGCACGATGTCCATCATGCACTTCGGAGCTTTGAACTTCCAGATGCTGACTGACATTTTCTAAGAACAAACAAAACCACAAACCCCCATACAGCATATGAATAGTTTAGTTGCAAAAACATAAGAGAAATTAGTAAAACATTTGAAAACTATTACAATTTGGACTCATTTAAGTGGCATATTTTAGTGTCACATGTTCCTATCCTTGACCATAATCTCAAACATCTACTGCCATTAGCAAAATACAATGAAGATTTCAGTTAGATGAACACAACTTGAACACATTTTCGCGAAAGAACTCTTTGTAGACGTATTGTTTAAATGCAGATTGATTCATTTTGTGGTCAATTGATTACCCATTTTTTGCGTGATGCCTTGAATGAGCTGTGCCACCAGCTGCTGCCCGGAAGCAATCAGAGCCTTTTCTTTTCCTAACCGCTCCAGGTTGTCCTTCAGTGAGGACTCCATCTGTTCCTGTTCTTCATAGAGCCTATTCTGCTGATCCCGGAGAGCACTGTGGCCTTCAAGCACTCTGTCCAAGGATGCTGCCGTCATCTCCTTTAGCTGAAGTTGACCCTCCTGTAACATTGACTGAGAGGTTAAACCCAATCATGCATCTTTGTCAGAGACTGGAACTGTACGTACCTTGAGATCCTTCATTGCATCGAGTTGGGTGGAAGCTGTGGAGATGAGAGCGTTCACAGTGTTCTCTGCCCTGCGCCGGAAGAGCATCTGTCGTGTGGCATAACACACCGACCTGGCTCTATTGCTCACTATGTGGTAGGCATTCCAAGTGTCAGGGTCCATGGATGCAGTGCACTCCTTTATCATCTAAAAAACAACATCTCTACTTAATAAGAATAATAAAAACACTTTCCCATATGATTGAATAAGTGTTTACCATCTCTTCTGTACATGGATAAGTCCTGCGACCCTCAATCTCAGACTGACAGTTGAAAAGAACAACCCCAAGCTTTGCCAACTGCTCTTCTGAAAGGCTTTCGCAACTGGACTTAAGTTGGGAAACGACCTATAGAAAATGTATCGATAAGATAATAGATTTTCTTTGCTCTCACACTGGAGAAATTTACACATTTGGCACAGATAGAATCACTCAGATTGTGCAAAAGACAGAAGTGTGCAACATGTTTAAGGTTAAAAATATAGTCCGTGCAGGATATAATTATGTACAATAGAAAAAGTGGCAATAGCAGTGCACTTTTTTTCAGTCTTAGTGACTTATTGTACAGTCTGACAGCAGTAATCTATAATAAACCATACAGTTAATAAACCATAGTATGCAAAATATTTACCAACCCTGTGATGACAGCTATCCAGTGGATCCAACTGCATTTGCTTTGCCTCTGCCAGAAATTTGTCATCGACTATGGCCATTTCAAAGGGTGCATTTTGGAGCAGAGATGGAGCCACAAACGCAGATGATGGGACTGGGGGCTGAGATGCAGGCGGGGGCTCAGCTTTCCTCAGCCATTCAAACAATCCACACACAACAGGACAGAAGAAAATCAGCAATGCAAATCTGAAAACATAGTAAGTCCTGGGACGAGACATGTCTGAAAGAGAAAAAAAAAGAATTTGTCTGTATAGTTCCAGTGTTCCCAATGTTGTCAAAGACTATGTCCAGACATGCCTCCTGCTTCAGCTCAAGCCCCTCCCTCAAGCATCCTTTCGTTACAGTAATATTTAGCTCTAAACAAAAATCTAATGTTCTTATTCTATTCAATCATTATAAGAATATGCATTGTCCGATGTAAGGTTATTTTTGTCTGATCAGTGCCTGCCAGTGTTGAAAGTGCTTAACAATATCTACCTCACGCTGTGTGCACGGGGTTGGAGGCTGTGCCGCACGCTCCTCACGCAGCTGAAAGAAATTATAAATCACACACGGTCACATTTCATATTTGACAAACAACAAAGTCCCATAATCTGCTCAGGCAACTCAGATTAATGGTCTTATCTTTTTTCATGTAGCCTTCTACGGCTTCTAGTATAATAAAGTTTTAATTATGTCCATGTTGTTTGATTAAAATAAAATAAAATAAACACTAGTCATCGTAACTTGACATGCAAACATTACACATTGCTACTATAAATAAATGTAAATAAAAACATTTACATTTTTACTACCATGTATGAAACGTCTTGGTGCTTTGGGGAGATAACTGAATGTGAGGAAAGACCATGGATCTATGGGAAAGACCCTGTAACAAGGGGAGACTGAAACGCATTAATACATCTGATTCATAGATCTATATTATTTCTATGCTTCGTTTCATCGTGTTCATAGACAAAAAACAATATTGAGATCGTGTTCTGTTCATAGACTAAGTTCTGTCAGAGGACTCCAACAACCATTTTAATAATAGTCTGGGTTTCCAACATGGCTGCCGGAACTGACTGATACTGGTCACTGTTCCCAGGACCGTGCTCGCTCTAGCATTTATTGTTTAACTCACTATTTCGTGTGCGGCGTCACCAAAGTGTCACATAACAGTCTATGGTCACATACGGCAGGGAAACCTGAAGATATTTGAAATCAACGTCCCCAGAAAACAGGTACCAGAGCCGCCGCTGTGATTGTGAGAAGCATCCTGTGGTCCTGCAGCGTGCTGATTGTCAGAACTACAGTCTATGGTCAAAACACGTGCAATGCATTTGTAGTTTTTTCATTTGGGACGTGACTAGGAAAGTAAACCTATACTGCACACGGCTTATATATGGGACACTTATTACTGACGTTAAGAGACATCAAAATTCTAGACTGTATTAGGGACTGGTACAAAATGCTACCAATGTGTTAGCTAGCATGTGTTAGCTAGCGTCAGCGTTTCATCTTCACAGTCTACATTTAAACAGCTTTTTTCTACAACAACAATGGGGAATGCTGTTATGAAGAAGCAACACTACTGGGATATAAAATAAACTGAAATTCTCCTGCAAATTCTAAAAGAGCTGGACATCAAAAAGTGCCTTGATGGTAAAAAAAGAGGAATGGTAGAGTTTTCAGGATGGCCCAGAAAAGAATGGCAACTGTTGGGTTTGACACGTTATTATAATAGATCCATGGTTTGACAGGACCGCGGAGCAGTTAAGGGTCCGCTGGAAGTTTCACAAAAGGTGTTTCTACAAGCCCAGCAGTGGACGTGCGGTCCAGGGCTGGATGCGCTATGAGAAAGCCATGGGGTCTATTCTGAACTCCAGTGACACCTGCCGAGGCAATGATGACATGATGGCTGAGGAAGATGAGGAAGATGAGGAGGCTGAGGAGGCTGAGGAGCGCCAGGATGGGGACTCTTCACTGAGGCCCATTGAAGAACCTGTCACTAAGCCCCGTGGGAACAATTCGGCAATCAACCTGGGATTAATTGTATAGTACTTCTCATTTTGTGGATGTTTTAAATTTTTATTAAAAAATGTGTTTATTGATGTATTTGACATCTATGGATATGGGACTGAGGCGGCCAACTATTCTATTGCTGGGCCAAAATCTAATTATGTGGTGCATCCAAAAGTGTATTTATTAGAATCCCTACATTGTCTCCATTACAATATAAAAAATATATATATAATCAAAAAAGAAACTCTGCGTGGGTTTCCTCCGGTTTCCCCTGCCACTAAAAATATGTACAATAGGTCTGGCATGCGCCTCCTGTTCGGCGACCTGTTCATCTCTGTGTGGAGTGAGAGGACAAGTGCCCAAAAATAACAATTGTAAACCGCTTTGTGACTCTGGTCTGTGTATATAAAGATTACTTACTTCGTTACAGGAGTGTCTGCACTTTATTTTGAATTCATTACATTTGTATCACATCGTTTTACAGGAAAGTTAATTATTTAAGAACTAGTATTTTGTTTTACTCTTACTTTCTCTGAGCTACTGGAATATTTCTTTATCAGAATTTGAAATGTCAGTAATTTACTCACCCCTTATAATTTCCTCAATTACAGATCAAAATGGAGCCTGAAACAAACCCCCATCAAAGAATTGGTTTTATTGGTGCAGGGAACATGGCATTTGGCATCGCAAAAGGAATAATAACTGGTGGTAAGTACTTTTTTATTTTTAGTATTAGTAACCAGATACATTCTAATCTATGTTACAAATATATGAAAATATGTTGTTGTTTTAAGGAAATGTTTTGCCAGCAAACATCAAAGTTAGCGCTCCATCCAACAGAAACTTTGGACGCTTTCAGGTAATTTTAAATTTGTTCTAAAATCATGGATGTGGATCTTTTTTGTAAACTATGTATTGTTACAGTTTTTGTTACTTGACAGGAGTTAGGAATTAGTGTCACAAACTCCAATGTGGAGCTGGTGTGTGGTTCTGACATAGTTTTTGTGGCAGTCAAACCTCACTTGGTTCGAAATGTTCTCAATGAGATCTCCGTTTTAATCACAGACAGACACATTATTGTGTCGGTGGCTGCAGGAATAACACTGGAAACATTGGAAGAGGTACTTTGTGGTATAATGACAAGAAATATATTTTCAAATTAGCTCCCTTTTCCTAAATGTATTTCTACTCTTACAGCTCTTGCCTGAAAATGCAAGTATCATCCGTCTGATGCCAAACCTCCCGTGCATTGTGCAGGAGGGGGCTTTACTCTTCTCCAGAGGGTCTTGTGCTAAACCTTCTGATGGAGAACTGCTTCGCTCCTTATTGCATCATTGTGGTTTGGTGGAGGAGGGCCCAGAGGCATGGATTGATATTCATACAGGACTGAGTGGGAGTGGAGTGGCCTTTGTGAGTCTCAAGTAACTTATTTACATTTTTATTTTATAAAAGTATTTTATTTGTACATTATTGTACATTGATTCGGCCAGTTCACGTCCCCATGGATGTAAAACTCAAACCTGAAAACACAAGTGTTTTGAGATAAGTACTCTCCAAATAGTTCTCACATGAAGTTGACCCTCTATCTTATCCTGCATCTTGTTCATATACTGCAGAACAAACCCAGTGTTCTAGCTATGCAAGAACTGTCAAGTATTCTCTCAAATGTGAAAATGTTTCTAGTTTAACTGCAGAAAGGCCAAATGGGAAGTCAATGGCATTTAAACTCTTTGCACAAAAATAGATTCCTCTTTAAAAATCTTCACAGTAGAACTGTTAACGCGATATTTATTGAATTTAATTCAATTACCTTCTGCATAACTACTGTTGTGATTTAGGGCTATCTCGGGGGACTTTACAAAGTCAAGTGAATACATTTTTAACCATGTTATCTGCTAGTCAAAGTCACCTCCATCATGAACAACACCTCCCACTGCACAAGACTGTAGAGGAGCTGAGGAGCTCCTTCAGTGGAAGAAGGAGCGCTACCGCAGGGCCTTTATCCCCACCGCTGTCAGACTGTACAACAAGTCACTTTAAGTCTCTGTATAAGACTGAAAAAACCTGCACTAATACTGACACTATTTCTGATTGCCACTTTTAAACTGCCACTTTTTTATGTACATAACATACTGTATCCTGCATTTAACATGTTTGCACATTTCCTCCCTTTTTGCACAATCTGAGAGTTTCTATCCATGCCAAATGTGACATGTAAATTTCTCCTTTGTGAGATAAATAAAGCATATCTTATCTTATCAGTGGCTAATGCACAACTACACACCCACTGTAATTAACTTTGTTCATTTACTTTTATATTGATTGTGTTCCATAGGTTTATCTTTTCTCCGAAGCTCTAGCTGAAGGAGCCATTAAAATGGGAATGCCAAGTTCTTTGGCCCATACCATTGCCTCACAGACAGTTTTGGTGAGTTATAAAAAATATTGTCTGTATTGGCAAAAACTAGAAAAATCCTTTCTCTAACAGGGCGCAGGGCGGTTGTTGCGAGACTCAGGAAAGCATCCAGCTCAGCTCCGGTCAGAGGTTTGCACTCCGGGAGGAACCACCATTTATGGACTTCACACTCTGGAGCAAGGTGGAGTCAGGGCAGCAACAATGAGCGCTGTGGAGTCCGCCACCGAGCGAGCGAGACGGCTCGGCCAAATGTCTGCAGCCAGGAAGTGATGTTTTTGTTTTTCATCCAACAAAACGGACTGTTGTCTTTAAGTCATATAGTTATATTTATGTTTGTATAATAAACAAACCTCCTTCCCACCTCTGCACCTTCTCCACCGACTCCCACTGATGACTGCTGTCGTTGTGTCCTTGGGCAAGACACTTAACCCCACTTTGCCCAAAGCCCCCACTGAAAGATCAAGGCTATGCTCACACTCAGAGAGCAGCCGTCCTCCTGTGGACTCACCACCTGCAGAGGGTCAGTGAGGGGCTGGTGCTATGAGACTTGGGTGGCATCTCTGACTGCCACCCCCCTGACCCAGAAATGGATTAAAGGGTAGAAAATGGATGGATAATAAACAAAATCACAAACACTGGAAAAGTTACATTCAACTTCTTCTCACCCCAAAAGTGACTTCCTCTTTAGTCTCTTGTTCTTTTTGGTTCAAGAAAGACTCAAAACAACGTGTTACGTTTTGATTAAATGGCCTTAATCATATAAAACACTGTTCTTTTTCTAAATGGGCTGTGAACGCTCTGGTGCTGAGATTAATGTTTATGCTTTTGTTTAAATTAAGAAGTGTTCAGTTAAATTAGTTATTTTAATTTGAGGTGTGCCAATATATCATTGATATTTGATATATTGTGATTATATTTTTGTTATCATGAGCTATTGGAACAATAACAATTCTGAAGGATTATTTGTTTTTGTTGCGTTTTCAAAATAAGATTAATATACTTGTACTTGACTTTTCATTTAGATCAATGTGTGTATACACAATAAGCTGCTGGTCAGGGATTTCCAAGAAAATACTTTTTACTCTCAAATACATTCTAATATACATTTTATTTTAAAGTTCCATTTTCATTTTAGCCATAAGAGTTGAATAAAAAGAGTGTTGCACCTTATATTCTAAATCATGTTGCACCTTATATTCTAATCATGTACCAGAAATATAATCACCCTGATTTCTGTGTTTGTTTTGTTAATGTTTTCAATAAAATTCAGTGTGGATCAATGTGGGACTGGGCCTTATAGATCCATGGACTGGGTCATATGGCATTAGAGAACCCTTGTGCAATCCTCAGGTCAAATTGACCTGTGATTCTGAGTCATGAAACACAAACATATGAGTGAACGCTGCTTCATCACTAAATTAAACACATCCATGCTTCTTCCTCTCCTCCCTCTCCTCTCCCCCTCCTCTTTCTCTCCTCCCCCTCCCTCTTCCTCTCCTCCTCACCATTCCTCTCCTCTTCCTCTCCTCCCCCCCCCTCTCCTCCCTCTCCTCTTCCTGGTGTCGCCTGAAGAAACACGCGTCTTCACCGGCCCTGAACACACAACTGTGAGTAATGACGTTAGACCAGCCACAGATTACTTTAAAGATATTACTTTCTTAAAACGTATGTATGAAACGTTGTGTGAAAAAACCCATTGTTATTGACGTAAATCCCAGTGACGCCGCCTGCATTAGCCCGGGATGCTAATGCTACTTCATTTAGCACAGCGGCTGCTCGGGCTTCAGGGCTACACCATGGGTCTATATAATATCTTATATATTTTGTTTAATATTTATTCATTAATTTGTCACAGAGACTGTCACAGCGTTTCATTTATAAATCTGTTTCCATTTATCCTTTTTTATTTTTTTTTATTCAAAATATAAATCTCTCGTAGCGACATAACCAATAACCAGGCAAGGCTTTAAGAAATAATACAAACAATATATACAAATTGAATTGAATGTTAAAACACATGTCTTGACACAGTAACAGATCTTCAGCAGACTGGTAGATTTTATCAGCATTCAGATTTGGCCCATTACTTTTTAAATTCGTTTTTGAAACCTGTTATATTTGGGGGGTTCTTTTTCTGCTGTCTCCTGAAATGATCGCCTTGAACTGGGAAATTTCTTGTTCGGTTTATATAGTTCACGATTCAAGAATTTATTTATTTTCCATTTGCAGTAAAACCACATTGGAAAAACTGTGCAAGCTAGTCCCCAGTGTGCACCAATTCGGATTTCTGAATTTCTTGTTTTTATACATACACAACATCCAGTGGTAATGTCCTATGTAAATGTATAGCCTGTGTGACAGCTGAAGGACCTGAGCCTGATGTATGGACACTATCCCCGTTACAGTCTCTCTGGGGACAGTGTGCACCTCTTATGTTTGTAGAAGGCTCACTCCATACTAAACTGTACATACGCGTTATATGTGGGTCAATGACACAAAAAAGTCCCGAAATGTCCGCGACCGCTACTGCTGAATATTCACAGCCCCCACTCTTGTTTGTTTCCAGCTGTTTGTTCAGTGAAGGTGGCACTGCTTAAACATGATTAGTTTTGGTTGTAACAAGTGCACGCGATGTGTTAATCCAAAACGCTTATTGAATAATATTTGTTTTGTATAATGTATTACCTATGAGTAGATTGATTATAGTTATATCCCAAATAGTTATATCCATTCACAAAGCCTCCAAGACAACATGTCCTGTATGTAACAATTGTGTCCCCAAAGTTCAATACAATTTTTTGAAAGTCCTCCATTTTTCTTGAAATGGTTTTTAGCCCATCTGAGATTATCCTATGTTTTTCCATAAACTCCATAGTATTAAAGATCTATGAGATACAAGCATTTTTGGTTCATACATTTATTTTATTACCGCTTGAAGTAAGATTGACGCATTGTGCAGTGTAGTGTGGAGTGAACCAGAATGCACCCATCATCTCTAGACATGCTTCACTAAATGTAGGTGTAATGTGGGGTTACTTTATGTAAAAGTAGTATTAGATTACTGAAACTAGTGATTGGGTCTGGGGCCTGGGCTAAAACGGAAGATCAAGGTTTGACTGCTGAGTGAGTAGGAGGCAGAGACCAAAGTAACAGTGTGGTTATGGTACCATATATTGTGAATTATTTACACATCTTTCAAAAAGAAATGGAAAAAAAACATCTGAAATTGTACTGCAGTATAGCTCTGGTGCACCAAGTTATTATTTGGTTTGTTTTAGTTGTGGTTCAACAAAAGTAGTCCATGGGTCCCAAAATAGAACAAAAAAAGAAACGTAATCCAGCAATTGCTCAATCCAAAGGACACCCACATAGTAATATTGTTTGTGGATTAATAAGTCTGAGTTTAAGTCTAATGTTTAATATCATTTAAAATGCTCGCAGCTCAAATGCCATGTTCTTACATTTGTATCACGCATGTCCAAAGTCTATCTTGAGGGTCATCTTGAGGGTCACTTATTTCCTGAAGATAATTTACAGTGATTTTAAACGCTGACAATGTTATAGTTTATTCCTGTTTCATTGAAGGAAGCTGTTTTTTGTTCAAAGATGTCATCTTATGAACAAATATCATTCACCCATGTACATCTAAAAACTAGAATATCTTAAAGGTATAGGAGGATTTTCTACCTCTGGGTGGATCATCAAGACTATTGGTCCTCCCAATTATCAATCATTCTGGTGATACGTGCTCGTCAAATAAGACCAGATAGTTTTGTTGAAAAAGTGGCGAGGGCGGTTCTTTCCTAAAATTTGGGAAAATCCTCCTATATTCCTTTTTTAAAGTAAACATCAATTCAGAAACAAAGCCATCACACGCCTTTGAATGATTTTGTCTGATAAAGGCTTGTATAGTCTGTTTTGAAACCTAAATATGATAATCAATTCTTAAACTTGTCCAAATTTAATTGAACTATAGTTTTTGTTTATTATAATTATTATATATAGAAATGTGGTACCATTCAAGTACCCCAAGTCTAAATTCAGACAGTACAGTGGTCCTTTGATTGATAGATTTTTTATTATTTTTCTATTGAAATGTTATGCTGTTTATATTGTTTATTTAATTTGGAAGGCAAGGATCTGTGTTAACTGTGAAGTGTTTCACGTCTTCCTCTCCTTTGCTCCATTGTACAAAAGTTGTGGACCCACGGCTGTAGATCAAGGTGAGTTGAATTTTTGTTTGTGCAAATGTATTTATGGGCTGTAAAAAAACTTATTTTGGCAAACGATGACTATCTATTCCTTCAATTGATCAAGTGTGATAATTTAATCTCACTTTAATGCTTATGAAACTTAGGTGAGGCCAGAACAGGACGTCCAGATTGTTTTACACTCTTTACACTTTATAGAGAGCAGTTAGGAGAATAGTGTTTATTTAAATTGTTGCCGTACCGGTTTAATAAAGTAATTGCAATTACAATCCAAAATCCAAACCTTTGTTGCCAGTGTCCCTGCCCTCAACTGGTGAATTGCACACCAGCATAACAACAGCACTCCACCTATGAAGGCGTTTTGATACTTAGAAAAGCAATGTGTAATATTTGCATGTCAAGTCATCATTAAAGGGCCCTAATCTGTCAAAAGGCATTAATAAAACTGCTCTTTTCCATTACTTCTTTAACTTTTCAATATATTAAAATTTCAAAATTGGTTTTACAGCCTCTAAATCTTGTCATTGTTTTCATTTCAATGTCCCGCCCTCCACCATTTTACCAATCAGATGGTCAGTGATCCGGGCGCCAGAACTCACAGCGTCAGGCTAGTCTCACTGGTAAAGTACCATGTGGCTACAGAACTAAATAAGGTCTTATGATCTTTGTGAAAAAGGTGTTGGTTATAGATTTTGTTGTTGACAAAACTCTTTTCTATTACTATTTTGGTCCCAGCTGGATTTGTCTACATATCTGGCAACCTGAGTCAGGGAGAGTGGGAGAGGATTACAGAATATTGACCATGATTGCAGTAGAAGAAAAAGTCTACATTAAACTTTTGATTAGAACTTGCTGAATATTATTTTCACATAATGAGCTTGATCAATTGTAATACTACATACAGATTCTTTATTTGTTACAGCCCTTATTAGAAATTTCTCCCAGGTTATTATTTACCATTTTATTATTAGCTTTGTAAAACTACTCCCATAATACTATCACTTTTTTTAAGTATCTTTAAGAAAAATCCTCTCACCTGGAAGCAAATTTCTGTCATAACTTTGTTGCGAGAATTTGATCCTATGTCTTTTTAAATCTCATTACTTTGTTTACCACTACTTCAATCTGAATATACCATGGCGGACATTAGTCTTGACTTTGATGCATGCAATAACATTTATCATCTTCATTATGCTTTTATATGTATAGTATGTTTAATGTGAATATCACTCATTTCGTCTAATTTCTACAATGATTTTATCTATTTCAACCAACAGATCATTGACAATGTCCCAGAAGATCACTCAGGGCTCTGTGGTGGATCAGTCCCAGCAAGAGGAGGACTCTAGCTTTGTTCAGTCCGGAAAGGGGGGCCGGAAAAAGTCCAACTCGGGTCGAAGAAATGAAGAGACCTCCTCTTCTCCTGAGAGTGTGAATAGTGATTGCAATGGTAGCTCAAAAAATCGTCGGCGAAGAAAACGCACACACAACGTTGATGGTGACCTTGTGGTTAAAGTCAATAAGACAAAATATGAAGCAGACATGAGCCAGGCTACTCACTCTGGTCCAGGATTTGCTGAACTGCAATCGGAATGTACCAATGTCTGGTTTGAACGGAGCATGTACGAGAGGGCAGAAAGTCTGTATCAGTGTTGGTTGGCTAATTCAACTATTGCTACTTTGCCTTCGCCCGCTATGTCAACAAATAAATCTCGTGCTGCTACAAATGAGGTTCAACTTCCCACTGTCGGTACATGCCACCACAGTGATCAAGTTGCCTGCCATCATATAGTCCAGTCAGCATGGGTCAACAAGAGCGCATTCGATCAAGCAGAACGCCATTTTGTGGAAACCATCCATCCTTCTATTCCAAATTCTCTGGACATCTTACCATCCCAGCCCAAACACGTGACATCTCGAACGCCAGACGAAGGCTATCAATCTCTTGCGGCAACTCCAGCCACCCCCGTTGTCCCGCAAGACGCTGCAACGCGACAACCGATGAACGGATTTCCACGTGTCCCCATGGAGCTTCTCCGAGATGTATGGCTCGAGAAACCACAGTACGATCGGGCCGAAGCTGCCTTTTATCAAAACCAGTGCAGTAACAGTTCAACCAAGAAATCCACCTGTCCCTCCACATGTAGAAGCAGTGACCACCCCCAAAGTCTTGTTGAGGAGGAGGAGGAGGAAGAAGACGAGGAGGAGGAGCTGGCGGTGGTGGAGAAGAAGCCTGTGTGTGTAGCGCAGTGTAAAGCAGAGGTCTTCCATGCACTACATCCCATTCAAGAGGAGGAGGAACCGGCTGAAGTCTCGGACAAAGAAGATGCTCCGGCTTCAGGGGTTTGTTACTTCCTTCATGCCGACAGTGAGCGGCTGTGGCTCGACAAGAGACGATATGACGCTGCTGAGACACGATTCTACAGTTTCCACGTAGAGGAAGCCAGCGCGTTAAAGAAGAACGTTAGAGATCTCGGCCCCACACCTGTCACATCCACTGCCCTGCCCCGGGACAAGTATGGCAAGACTCAGACAGAGGAGCTCTCCCTGCTATTTTTATTTTATGTATTTGTTTTACACCCTTTCTTCCCATTTCAAATTCTGGCATTTCCTCAATTATTTTGGATATTTTTTGTATGGATTTATGTTCATCTTTAAAAATTGTTTGGACAAATTACATATATTTCAATTTTGTCTCTTCATTGCTTCATTCATTTATTTTTTGTTCAGTTTTTAGATTCATTTCCAGCCTTTTGTGTGGCCGCATGCAAGCCTTCTATTAAAGCATTTCCAGCATGACACTTCTGATGGTATTTGTTCTTATTTTCATTTCAGAGCCATGAGCGCTCCGGACTTTCTGGCAAAGGAGAAAATCTGGTTTGATAAACCGCGCTACGATGAAGCAGAGCGGCGTTTTTACGAACGTACAAGCGGCTCCTCCAATGCATCTCAAAGCACAGGAGTAAGTAGAAATTGCTTAGACACATTTTTCTTTCCAAACCATCCAAACAAAATATGAATGATGACGTTTTATTATTTTATAATTTTTTTGAAGGATCTTGGTTCCAACTCTATTCTAAAAGACATAGCCAGAGCAAGGGAGAACATCCAGAAATCTTTAGCCGGAGTAAGTACTGTACCATGAAGTGTTTTTATACAGATACTGCTTTTGTGTCAAAGGTTTACAGGAGGATTTTCCCAAATTTTAGCAAAGAACCGACCTCTCCACTATTTTAACAAAACTCTCCGGTCTTATTGGATGAGCACGTATCACCAGAATGTTTGACAATTAGGAGGACCAATAGTCTTGATGATGAAAATCCTCTTATATATCTTTTTAAGCATGATCCATGACCTGTTCATAATATTAAGTGTTGGCAATAAATCAATGACTAGTAGCCACATGCAGATTACTGAATGTCAAATGTATATCCGTGTTCCCCAACCTTTTTGAGCCGTGGCGCGCCTTTGTCTTTGCAAATATATCAGATGGCACACCACCAGCTGAATTTGTCGTGTATTATATAGCAAACCAAACAAGCACAAAACAATCTTTCTAATCATCTCCCATTATTTACTTTTCACATGATATTGACCAAGCAGGTGATATTGGATCATTTCCAAGGCACAATAATACACATCTCAAGGCACACCAACGGGCCACGTCCCACTGGTGAAAAACACTGGTTTAAACTGCCTATTTTCTGTATAGTTTTCCTCCTTTACACCCATGAGCAGCTCGTAATGCTGTATCACAGTGTAACCTTGCATTGTTAACCTTGCTGATATTACTCTGGGTGTGCTATTTCGGATGCAAGAATGATACAGAAACAAATATCCTCTCTTTTTGTCACTCAGAGCACAACCACCAGCAGCAATAATGAAATCGATCAAGGGGAAATAGTTTGTCGGATTAAAAACCTGGAGCAGGAGAACAGCAACCTATACAAAGGTACATATTTGCTTTGTGCTCATTAAAGTCCTATAATTATGATGATGGTAAAGCAAAATACGTGTGTCGTTACAATATTGTGATGTTTTTCCAGTTGTGGAAGACCTTCGAGCAGCGCTTTCTAAACTGGAGTGTCGAGTAGAAGTTCTTGAGAAATCTCCTGCACCTGTTACTCCCGCTACCAAAACCCCCGTCCCATACACAAATGTAAGTTTACAAAAGCATTCTTAATCTATGACCTCAATGAAATATTAAATGATTTTCAGCTATTAATATCTTGCAGCATTGGAGGTTATTGACTGCCAAGGCATTTCATTCATCATCAATTTTTTTCCGGAAAAGAAGCTAATTTAATTTAATTCCAAAACTTTAACCCAACACATAATTAGAAGTTAAATAGTAAAATATAACCCTAATATGAGTGTTCAACTATATATTTGGTCCAGTTTTGGTTAAATCTAAACTATAAAAACATTTAGTTTTCAGATAAAATCTAAAAGTCATGGCCAAATACCAACATAATGTAAAATACAATTTTAAGAAAAAGAAATCCCTTCTATTATTTCGGCCCCTGAGTTCCTATTTTCTTTATTCAGCCCCAGACTAAAATGAGTTTTACACCCGTGATTGAAACTAATACATGTTTTACCATGTGTTGCGTTTAGGGCACTACTGTTGAGCAAAAGAGCTGCATGGGCGATAAACAAGAGGAAGATGACGATGACTTTGACTTCTTTGGGAGTGATGACGATGAAGAAGCAGAGCAACTCAAACAGCAGAGGATAAAGGAATATGCAGAGAAAAAAGCAAAGAAGCCCGTCCTCATCGCAAAGTCTTCGATTTTACTCGATGTCAAACCTGTAAGTCTGAATCTACAACCATCACTGTCATCTGCACATCACACATTTCAGTTGTAATCGTCACTTAGACTTAGACCGACTTTATTGATCCACAAGGGAAATTCACCAGATACATATTATTATAAATGGAAAAAAAAGGATATGAATCAACATTTTACCTTTGAAAATTATATAAATCAATGTATTTGTATCAAAAGACACAACTGAACAAGCCTGGGGTTACCATGTGTAAACTCTGGACTATGATCATTTCCTACATGTACGTCTGATCCTATTGGCTGCAGTTTCCTCGGTTGAATCTCCTCCGACCATTCAGAGAGCGGGGGAGGCGGGGAGGAGTTTGGCAATGGCGCCGAATGCGATAGTAAAATAATCTGTTCTGGTTCAGCTCCAAATATCAAGAAATTGAAGCCGGAGCAAGAGGAATTTTTAGCAAATGTCGTCACTAACGCCCAGTTTGTCTGCAGTTATTGAATATTTTTTAGACATTATTGTAGTTGATTATAGTTATATCCCCAAACCATTAGCCATTATTCAGTCTTCTTTGTCCTGTTAATTCTTTCATTCACAAAGCCTCCAACATGACATGTCCTAAATGTCCCTTTGGGGACATAGTTGTTACAATTTTTTTTGAAAGGCCTCTATTTTTCTTGAACCCTAACCCATCTGAGATTATCCTAATGTATATTCATAACTACATAGTATTAAAGAACTATGAAGTACAAACATTTTTGGTTCATACATTTATTTTTATCACCACTTGAAGTCAGAATTGATGCATTATACCGTTTAGCCATTGTTTGTCTACCCATTGATGTATTATCGGTATCACTTCTATTTGCTTCTACTTTAATAAGCCTCTCTGAACTTTTTAGTGGGATGATGAAACGGACATGTCGAAGCTGGAAGAGTGCGTCCGCTCAGTGACCATGGATGGACTATTATGGGGTTCATCAAAACTGGTGCCTGTTGGTTACGGCATCAAGAAGCTCCAAATCACATGTGTGGTAGAAGACGATAAGGTTGGAACAGACTTACTGGAAGAAGAAATTATCAAGTTTGAAGATTATGTAAGTGATGATCATCTTCCAATTGTTCTAAAGCGGTTAAAATCTGCCTTGTGGGTTTAAGAAATGTATTGTTTTGTTTTACAGGTTCAGAGTGTTGATGTTGCAGCCTTTAACAAGATCTGAAAATTGTCTTGTTTCCCTTTGTCTTGCCTTGTTTACGAGCTAAATGTCTCATGTTAACACAATAAAACTATTGCACTGTTCAGTCAGTTTGGAAAATGTTTTTTGTGGAGTTGGAAATAGTATGAGGCAGGAGACACACCATAAGCATACAGCACATAGACTGTAAATAATAAAGCATAGCATCAACTCAGAACAGGATGCCTCACAATACCAACAGAACAGTACTGCCACCTACTGGAATAACTTGGGGAAACTCATCACGTGTACAACATTTATGGGTCACCACCATAGACTAAATATTAACTTGGATCTACAGTACTGCACCACGGTGTTTTAATTATTGGCTCAAACTCTTACGACATTTGAGATTGGGAGATTATCAGCCAATCAGGTCACAGCAGCTAGAGAGTAGTCTCTGGGTGGAGCAGGACCAATAGATCCATGAGCAGGACGGACGGGTCACAGCAGCAAAGATGGACACTTCAGAAGCAGTGAATGTTGTTGAGAGCCAATCCTGCTGCTCCTGATAAAATTCTTAAGTCTTAAATGACGACGGGAGTTTAAATTGGGTTTCAAAATAAAACATGAGCTCCTGACCAGTGTGAATAACTGCAGTTTTGGCCACAGTAGTGATCTATGTTGGCTTTAGCCCACAAAGTTTTGTCCCAGCCTTGGAATTAGTACTTCTGCTATAGTAGGAAAACTGTACTTCTAGATATATTTGAAAATTGTGTAAACAAAAAATCTTCCAAAAGTGACATATACAGTATTTGAGTGCCACGAGATGGTCCCTAAAGCTGCCTTTGTTCATAGTTGGCTTCCCTTGTGTGTCTGAGGTGGTGTCAGTCCAGCCCTCTCAGTGGTAAGTCATTCATGGTCCACAAAGCCTTTGTGCATAGACTTAACCTTTGCCATTATCTGTCTGACACAAAGAATGTATTATGCTGGTGCTCCTTCTTTACAAGCCATTGATAGAAAGTATTTTATAGTACGAAAACATGTTTGGTCTTTTTACATTTTAAAAGAGCTTTGTAGGGCAGAGTTATTATCCATGGGAAGAGCATTGTCGTCAAACGCAAAAAGTAAAAAAAAAATACATCGATAAGTTTTGTTTTTTTGTTTATTTTGTGTGACAGCAATGCTCTTCTGTAGCTTTGGATTTATATGTGAAAATAGTTTTTCAGCAAATTTCAACTATAATTTGAACCATAATACATCCATGATTTGAACGCGCTACGTACTATTTCCTGTTTTAGTCTGACACGTGACCCGGGATCTGTCCAATCAGGTTGCAGATCCGCTCAGCTCGTAATTTTGAACAGACTGAGAACAAGACCGTGGTTTGTTTTCTGCAGCGTCTCCTACACGAAGACCACTGTGTGCAGAGAAACTACCTACTGTCTAACAAAGAACGCTAGACACTGAACTGGGGTGCTTTTTTGGGATGTTTTGACTTTCTGAGAGATCCTGGTTACTTGTGCACTAAAAATGAACTCGCATATTATAACCCCCGGACCGTATCGAGCCACAAAGCTGGTAAGTAGCGTTATTTCCTTTCAAACTGGTGCAGATTTCACAGAGATTTTAATATTGAATGTTTCTGTATTTTACCAGTAGCGTTTAGTACGATTTGATAAGCTTTCTTATGATGCCCTTGTGATTGAACACTTGGGACTAGACACTCGCTGCATTGCCACGTTCATTTGTTAAAGGTCATATATATATATATATATATATATATATATATATATATATATATATATATATATATATATATATATATATATATATATATATATATATGGTAAGGTTACTTTTGAGTCTCATGTCTTTAAATTTGGTTTTTATCTTCATCATGAATTTACACAATATTTATATGCACAAAATGCACGCATTTTATGTTGACATATTGGCAGTAACCTTAACCCATACATAGAGGATTTTCCCAAATATTAGGAAAGAACCGCCCTCTCCACTGTGTGAACAAAACTCTGGTCTTATTTGATGAGCACGTATCACCAAAATGATTGATAATTAGGAGGATTGATTGTCTTGATGATCCACCCGGAAGTAGAAAATCCTCCTAATATACCTTTTAACTATAAGTTAGCATTAAGCTTTAACGAAAGTGTTTTGTGTAATGTATATAAACATTACACAAAACAATATGTATCAATATCTTGGTTATTTAATAGACCTCATTTAATGTTTACTTCGCATTGCTTGCCTTGTGGGTCTTGCGAAATTCCAGCTGCTCGTTGTTCTTGTCTTTTTGCATTTTAATACCACTTAAGTGACCGTCCAATTTCCATTTGTTTGAGTCTTTTGTATTCCTGACTTATGGCTTGATCAATAGATCTTTGCCTGAACCCTGGATTCACTGTTGTCTGCCTCTGTTTGCATATCATTACAGTGGAATGAGGTGACTCGTCTCTTTCGTGCTGGAATGCCACTAAAGAAACACAGGCTGAATTTCAGACACCATAGCTCATGCTTCACTGCCACTGCGGCTGTGGACTGGCTGCACCAACTCCTGCGGAACAATAGTAATTTTGGTCCCGATGTGACGCGACAACAGACTGTGCAGCTTCTAAAGAAGTTTCTGAAGAACCATGTCATTGAAGATGTGAAAGGTCGCTGGGGCACAGAGGATCTGGAGGACAATAATGGACTCTTCAGGTAAAAAGACGGGGGCTAATCTGTGAAAGTCCAAGCAATGAATATGTTGATCATTGTAAACTTATGCATCACAACAGATTCCCTTCTACTTCGACCCTGAAGCCAATTCCAAGTCCTTCACAAGTCCCAGGATCAGCCCCTGGCTCTATCAAGAAAAAACACTCATTCAGGGACAAAGATGGTTTCTTCAAGTTTAGAACAATCAAAAAACATGACAAAGATGCACAGGTAACGATGCTGTCAGAGGCTGCCGCCTTAATATCAAAATCTATGTACCGGTTTATGGTAAACGCCTTTTCACTGAAACAAAGCTGTTGAAATGTTTGATTCTTTAATTTATATTTTAGGAAAACACAGACCCTGCTCTCCGCCCAGAAGAGGATGGGTCTGAGCAGACGTCTCAGAGGCGAGAGCTGACTGTGGATGATGAACATGCGATCTGGAAAGATATCACTTTGACCCAGTAAAGCTGCAGTTCTATTTCACCCCTTTTGACCGCCAGAGGCAATGCACCAGGAACTGATTGTTCGGTGCTTGATGCACCACCTCTGACGGTCATCCAGGATAGAACTGCAGTCAAAATGTTTTTTCTTCTTTTTCTTCAGTGAAATGTTTATAGAACTACATAACTTATTTTAAGTGACATCTAGTTTACAGAGGATTCTGGGTGTTGCGTCTCTGGATGAAGTTTTGAGTTACCACTCGGTGAATCCACAAAACATCATCCATAACATGACCAAAGTCAACAAGAATGGCGTGGTTACACTTGACGACAAAACCAGTAAGTCTCAGAGTATATTTTTGACATGAATGTCTTCTGTTGAATCTCAAGTGATTAATTGTTTTTCACATATCTGTAGATGATCTTCCAGATTGGGTTTTGTCTGCTATGAAAAGTTTGGCCAATTGTGAGTAGTGTTCATGACTCCATTTAAATGTGAGCGATGTACAGATGTTATGTTTGTTTCATTAGGGCCGAAGTATAACAGTGCACAGCCGTCGTATCCAGGCTTCGAGAGGGATGTTTTAAAAACTGTGTCCGACTATTTCTATAGTCTTCCACAGCCACTGCTCACATTTGAGTTGTACGAGTTGTTTATCAACGTTTTGGGTAGGTGGACTTGTTTAGCTTAGGAATGCTTGTTTTTCCAACTGGGGTTGCATGAATTGAGCATTTTATTTGTCTGTTGCGTTACTTTACTTATATATATTATTATTAATGTACTGACATAAGTATATATAAACCCCTAACAGAGGTTTTGGGCCCATCTGTTGGTGGATTCCTATTTAAAATGCATAGTTTTCTATTGCCTGTGTTTTTGGCATTTACTTGTCATGTGTCTATACAGACTGCTGTTTATGACCTTAAAGTTTGCACTAACTAAACTCTCCCTCCCCAACCCTGTCTGCTTGCATTGACACCCCGCCTGCTGTCTGTCCTTCCACCTCGTTCCTTTTCTGCCTCTACTGTGTCTAGTGTTTTGCGGTTATGTTGCGGGACCATCACCTCGGCAACTTGGAAAGCGTAAGAAGTTGGACCTCCCCTCAGTGCCGCCACCGGCCAAGACATCGTTTCTCTCCACCGAGTGTCTCCTCCTGTCGCTGATCAGACAAGGAGGATGTGATGAGACAGAGTCTCCAATGAGAGAGGTGCTGGGCGTGACTCTGCAGAACAGACACTGTGCCTTTAACAATGATGGAGGTGATCCTCCAATGGGAGGAAGCTGCATGAATTTAAGCACCGCTCACAGCCTACAAAGTTTTATCAGACCCCGGACCCGAAGCTGCTCCTTGGAGAGCATTTCAGATGACTCTTTAAGTCAGAAAAAACTTTTTAAATCAAGTGACAGTCTGGATTTGGTTGCCCCAGGTACAAAGACTGAGAATTCCTCTTTTACCACTCCCAGTAGTTCATACTTTACATGTAGCTCTACTCCAAGTACTGCTGAGAGTGTCAGAGAAGTTCATATCCGGAAAAGACTAACTTCCATGAAAGGACTTAAATCAGCTCAGAGGATGCGTTCCTTGAGGCCTCGCAGTATGGGAAGTTGTTTGGATATTGTTGTTGAAACCGGAGAAGAGGAGACTAAAGAGAGCATGTTTTCAACCCGAGCTGCCAGCTGCCTGGATGTGAACACTCCAGCACCCTCCTGCTTGCCCCCCTATCCTGCTTACACCTCTACTGCTCTCCCCAAAGCACATGGCTCCTGTGCATCAGGGCCTCGACCTGCTGCCAGTACCTCCAATCTGCAAACCCCTCAAGCTCCTTCTGTCACGCGCCGCTGCATAAGTTCACTGGATGTGTCCAAGCCTCCACGGCCTCTGTCACTGTTCAAACCACCTCTCCCTCCGCCCAAACCTGTAAACAGTAAGACTCCTCCTTTATCTGCCTGTGCTTGTGCTCCAGAGTGTCTAATCCAACTAATGACATCTAACATTGCCTGCATTATCACGTTTAGTTGTAACAGAATCATAATATAGTTCACATTTCTAGATACCATAAAGCATTGCTTAGTTACATCTTGAAGAGAAAAACAAAATGCATTTGGGGCTGTAATGAGTTTACATCATTTAATCAGTAATCAACTCATTTAGTAATGAATTTATCTTTCCTTCATAAACTTAAACGTGCTGAGAGGATTTATGACTTGGATGTTCTCCAGGGGTTAGGGTTAGCTTGAGATTCGTTTGGTTCCATTACAAGATCTCATATTCAAAGACCTTTTCAGGATCAAATCCAAAATAATTATCCATGTCATTGATTATAAAAAAAGTAATCTAATTTACAGCCCTAAATTGATTTTAGCTGTGCATGATACAACCCATGACTATTTTAACCCCATCTCCATTCCCTGCCCTGTTTGCGTAGGGCTTCTGCAGCCTCACTGTGAACATGTCACTATCCAAGCCCTGCAGCTGTGCACGCTCCTGCTGCCGCCTGCGTCCCGACGAAAACTACAGCTACTGATGAGAATGATATCCCGCATCAGCCAAAATGTGGACATGCCTCGCCTTCACCCGGCCATTGGCACTCGCACCCTGGTGAGGACAAATAACCCTCGCAGGTCCATAATGTGCCCCGAGATCTGCTTCACTTGCTTCTGATTCTTGCAGATGGTCCACACATTCTCGAGCTGTGTTCTTGGCAGTGCAGAGGAAGGCGACTTGGACGAGCTCTTGGCAACGAGACTGGTGTCTTTTCTTATAGACCACCAGCAAAACATCCTTTCAGTCCCAGAGTACTTACTGACAGCTATCGGGGACCATATTCTGTATCTTCGCACTGTACAGGTACATATTTTGACAAGTTTATCTTATCTTAGCCCAATGCGAATGTCATATTTTTGGCACATAAGGTTAGGACAAAGGTCAGTATATGGGCCAAAAATCTTCATGATGTCTGATCCCCGGGTTAAAGATGCAGTAAGCGATATTGTTAGCTTAGCCGTAGCACCAACTGGAAACCTCTCCCCCTCCACCAAACCAAACATCCAGCATTTTCTTTTCTATGACACAACAGGGAGAGTGGGTGGCAAATGTAAAATTGGCATTTTCTGTTCAGCCATTTTAGGTTTTAGAACATCTGATAACTCGGGTGCACTCGCGAGAAACAAGAGAGTGAAGGGGGTAAACGCATCCCATTGGTTCGTTGTAGATGAATGAATCCCATTGTTGTCCCATGTTGTACAGATGTGGTCTAAAGATCATTGACTCTGCCTTCCATTTACTTAAAGGGACAGTATGTGATATTTCATTTTTTTTATAATTACATCTTTTATGCGACACCATATAATTGCTGAACTTCTAAAACTTCTAAAAATCCTAATTGACATATTCTGAACAAGTCTACAGTGCAGTTAATTAAATGCATTTAACATGATGTCCATAATATGTTTATGTTTATTATGTAATCAAAGAGCAGATGGAGCCTCTATAGCTCTTTCCCTTTTATTGCTCATGTAAGAAAATTGACAAATAATTCAGTGTATGTACTCTTTCTAGCTAAACCTCTGTTTCTGGTTTGCATCTTTTAATGAGTGCTGAAGAGTTAGAAGAGTTAGAAAGAAGTAACAAATTGATTTGTATTTGTCGTTATTATACCAGTAATTGTGCATTACATAAAAAAATGTTTGATAAATTGTGTTTTTGTGTGTGTATTTTAGGTCCCAGTGGACTCTGGAGAAGCTGGAGGTGACGAGGTCTGTGTCCCTCTCCCCATCTATGCTTTCTGTCGTCAGATTAGTGGTGCAGAATTTGAACAGCAGAAGACGGAGACCTTACAGCAGGCCATGGAGGAGTTACTGGACACTCTGTTGACCGACCAAAACATCAGTGAGAAAGACCGGCGGAAAAAGCTGAAACAGGTAACGAGATAACTGAACGGGGATTTAATTCAACATGCAGAGTCCCATGAAACTTCTTGGGACGATGTATTGTATAATGGAGATATTACCTTTTCAGTCAAGTAATTGGTCTTGCCATTTTCAAGCTGCAGACCAATGTTTTTGTTTTATCAACATTATGAACGTGAGGCGGAGAAGATGTCTGTGTGCACTGGGTTCAGGACCAGAGGAAATAGTTTGTTTTATAATGGACTAAATGTGAAGGTTAACTCATTCACTGCCAGCCATATATAAAGAAGCATCCCTCATACTGCCAGAGATTTTGGATATTTGTAGTGTTTTTCCAAACCTCATATAAATGTGAGCCCTTGGTTGACACAAGCATGAAACATACCAAATGAAAACTCTGTCTCTTGCCTTTCATGTAAAAGAAAAAAGGTACGTTTCTACCCCTTTTTAGTTTTTTAGCAATTGATAGTACAACACAGGTAACTTTCGCACAAAACGCTTTTTCCTGACCAACATATAGAGAAAACAGGCTTTTTGTGAAACACACATTTTCAAGCAGAAGTGGGGGTTTTTTCCTTCCTCCCCTGATATTTTACAATGTATGACAGTTTCTTATTATGACTCAAAACAACTTAAACATGTACACACAATACACTCAAAGTACTTTTATGTACACATAAAATATTCAATTTATACATATATTCAACGTATACAATAAAAACACTCCAAGGCATTTACAGGTCTGAAATGTTGACACAGGATACACAAGAGCCTTGACGAGCCATAGGAACAAAAAAAAACGCAAAAAATGTATTCTTTCGGATATAGATTGATGTTGATAGATCTCCATGGCAGTGAATGAGTTAACATAACCTTTGTATCAGATTGTCACGGCTGCGTCTGCTTAATGCTAATTTGTTTTTAGTTTTTATAATGCAAATGACAGTGCTGCGGTGACAAGAGGAACTATTGAAACGTCTTTAGGTCTACAAGAGTAAATCATTGATAATTTAAAATCCATCTCCATCACACGGCTCACCATGACTTCTTCGCGGCCCTCCCAGAGTCTAAGCTGCAGGTGCATGGCATTGCTCTCTACTACTTCTTTTCTTACACGGAATACTCCTGGATAACTGAAGAAAATGAAAGATGTCTGCGAAAGTGTCGGACAGACGGAAGACATGTTTCATAGTTGATGGTTGAGACGAGACACAGAGATTCACAAAACTACGATGCCAGTAGCTTTGGCCTTCACATAACAATAACATTCAAAGTGTCATGAAATATAGGGGGAAAAACAGCAGCCAGGACAAAAACCACACCGTTGCTCCATGTTATTTTTGTTCAATAATTAGAATAAATCAAAGAAAAACGGGTCCAATTGAATATCTTGAGGCGGTTACAGACACATTAACTAACCTGCTCCTTTCCAGTAAACGTTCTCATAACAAAGTAAAAACTAAATTCTTGTTTTCTGTTCAGTTTCAGAAGCAATACCCCGATATCTACAGCCGCAGAGTTCCTCCCACGGCCCTGAAGAACAAACCAAAGATCAAGCCTGCGCTGCTCAACATCAAGAAGACCAAAGTTTTTAGCATCAGGAACTAAATGTGTTTTTTGTGTTTTTGTAGACTTTTGCAGCCAGTTCTTTTTTTAAGCTGCAGTTGCCAAGAAAATGTTATGCAAACGGTTTATACTGTTAATTTATTACAATGTTTGGGAGATGTTTTGGGAGATTTTGTGCTAAAACTGTAGTGTATTTATCAATTTTATTCGATGGATTTGATTGAGATGTGAGTTTATACCTGTTAATTATTTTGCACTCTTCATTTTGTTTGGTTGCTCTAAAACCTTTTTATTTATTACTAATTTAAAATAGGTTTTGGTTTTACACTCCTAAGTTTGAAATAGTGAGTATAAAATCACAATAGATAAATTAGATTGAAGTAATGGCTGTTCTTTCAACTCCTTTGGACAAATGCAGTGTTTTGTAGATCTACATTTCCAAGTGCATCATCATTGTCCTGGAAAGAACAGAAATATGAAGTATTTGTGTGACCACTTTTATCTGTTTTTATCTTCATTCTTGTGTTTTACATATTCATACTTTGAGAGGTTTCATATATTCTCTATGCAAAATTGTGAAATAAACTTGTTTTGCCTAAGAACATGTTTCCCCTGTTGCTAATATACGAAGATTCAGATTAATTTATTCCCCATTTGCAGTAAAACCACATTGGAATAAATCTGCAAAGTCCCCAGTGTGAACAAGACAAGCACAGGACTAAACAAGGTTAAAAGTACAGCAATAAAATAAAAACAATTTGTCAGTGTGAAATTTATCAAACTTAAACAGTTTGTACAAAATCATTAAAGTGCTCTGTTTAAACTGATACTGTTTGTGGAATAAGCTGTTAGCAAAACCAGATGTCCTGCATCTCAGCGAACGATATGTTCTGTCAGAGGGAAGAAGCTGGAACATGGTATTAGTATTAGATAGCAATATGGCCTACGTGCAGGACTGTACAAGGACTCTACAAGGACTCCATGTTATGACTATGATTTGACTGTCTCTTTGTGACACGTATGTCTTTCGATGTGTGACGTGACAATGACTATATAAACTGTGTACTGCCTTTATTCTGTCTGAGGAAAAGAAACAGAGTAAACCAGTGGAACTTGAGAGCAACTTAAATAAACTTCCAGAGTTTGGCACACCACGATCCGTCTCTGTCTGCTTAAATCCTAACAGATTTGGTGGAGGATGCGGGCCTTGTCTGTAACATCTAGAGAACAGAAGACTTTTTTTTACACAAAAAGTGTTTTTTTTTTTTAAGCCAAAACTGAGAAACCTCAAGAGAAACCATGCATCTGGATCAGCACATGGACAATCTGCACAGCCCCTGATTCTACTCAGGCAGTGAGCTGCTGAGACATGGACAACACCAGCGTCCTCTTTTGCATGGACATGATTTGGAACAATTGGATTTCTGAATTTGGACATAATTTGGACTGAATTGAATTGCTGAATCTGGACACTAAAGCTGAAACGTGTGATTGAAAGACACGTCACAGAAGAATTCATGGCTCGACACAAATGCAGCCTGAAGAAATCAACACAGAGAAGTGGGAGAGACTGTTTTCAAAGCAATATCTGGAACCATCGACTGATGACGTTTGGTATTTTACTGAAGATTGTTGACAAGTTTTATGAAAGATCTGAAAATGTTTTATGAGTTTTCTGAGTTTTTGAAGTATTCCGAGTTCTGAGTTTTTTGAGGTACCGAGTGAAGTACCGAGTTTATGAGTTTTTGAAGTATTGAGTTATGATGTTATGTTGCTGTTTATTGATCCTGATGGTCACACGTGAATGTATGACCAGAGGGGGGAATGTGAGATTTCATAACACTTTGAAGCAACTTTTGTTAAAGTTACACTCATCATTCTATCAATGTGCAGAAGCCAGTACTTTTCCCTTGTTGTGTCTATCTGAAGGCCAAGCTACAAGCACACCGTGGCAGCTGCTGATTGGAGGTCTCCATGCCTCCGCTCTGTATAATACACTTGCATTCTATTGTATCTGTGATTGTGTGCTTTGATCGTGCTGTCTCTACCATCGACAATAAAACATGTCTTCTGTCTGAATTTAAGACGCGATCCCAGACTTTGTCATCCTCTTCAATGGTTTTTCCAGGGGCCAGAAGAGTCATTGATTATTCTAAGAGCCCGGTTTAAAAATCTGGATTCATAAAGAAACCTCCAGAACAGACAGATCACAGAGTGGAGCACCTCTCTCTGGTCTCTCTGATCTGTCTCTTTCTCTCTGGTCTCACTCTGGTCTCTCTCTGCTCTCTCTCCTTTCTTTGTCTGTGATGTCACCAACACACACAGTCACTGAACCAACAAGCAAACTTTCACAGAGAAATTCTCAAGTTTCCGTAGAAAGCACAGACGCTGACGGTCTTTCTTAACTCCTGATTTGTGTTTTTGTCCCATACACTAATGGCTCATAGTGATTACAAACAAATGAATACATTTTTCATGTCATGCAAGTAGCTATTCCCCCTCTCTCCCCCCAAGTTCATTTGCATATGAGCAGAAATGTAAATGTCCTGATTTCTTGTGTCAAAACACCAGGACAAAGTGAATCATCTCCGTTCGTTGTGAGTCCGACAGGTTTCTCCCCCACAGTTGACTCGCTCACATACTTTCCTCTAAACTGTCTGGAAGTAATTAAACCTGGACTTGTAAAAAAGAAAAAAACAAACACAGATAATTCAAGGTATTTTTCAAGAAGTGTCAAATGTGTTCTTTGTGAGTATGATTCAAATCTAACCCTTTCCTGAGTTTGTTCTGTGAGAGGGAAAGTTTGAGTGTGCGGAGAAAGAGTGCATGAAAGCTCAGACAAAGATGGCTTGTTTGGTTCTTGAAGGCAGCAGCGGGAGGAAGAGGAGGAGGAGGAGGAGGAGGGCTGGAAGAGGGGCACGAAACCAGAGAAGGATGGCAATGGGGGAGGAGGAGAAAGCTTGAAAAGGGCAACTTGTTTCAAAATCTCGCACACCAGAAAAGCAGCAGCAGCAGCATGGTCAGCCGGTGAGTACCATTATTGTTATATTGATATTATTATTATTACTGGAGAAAATGTGTGGTTTGTACTTTACTTGCACTTGCTGAAGAGTTACTGCAAATCTCTCTATGACAGAAATCACACTTTTCTTTATGTCTGAATATTCTGAGCTGTGATGACCAGAGTTGTGAGTAACTGATTACATGTATCATCATCACGTACTCGCTCTTTCTGAGTAACTGTATTCCACTACAGTTACTACTTTAAAGTCTAGTATTTAGATTACAGTTACTTTCTGAAAATCCCAGAATTCATACATTCACACATTGAGTTTTAAGGTTAAAAAAAGAAAACTGTGTAAAATGGTGTTGTTGAAGGCAGCCGTTGAAGCTTTGACTTATTTTACACAAAAAATACAAAACAATAAATAATTACAATGTTTATTTTATTTAAACATTTATTGAGGTTGTGGTTTTAAATATTTTGAGATTTACCTTTATATGTTTTGTAAATAAACAATATTTTTCAATAAATAAAAATGATACAGAAATAATAATTAATAGTATAAATAAAAGTATTCTAAGATTTCAGAAAATAGCGGTATTACTTTTTACAAAACCCTCCGTCATAAACACAGTGTGCGCCTCCTCTTTTCTCGAACTGTCTAAACTGTACTTTATTATTCAAATATATTTTTTACTAGAAATGGAACCTTTGCATTGTAGAGAATGGTGTAAGAAGGAGCGCTTCCTCAGGGCCTTCATCCTCACCGCTGTCAGACTGTACAACGAGTCACTTTAAAGACCTGCACTAGGACTGAAAAAACTCGCACTGCTATAGTCACTTTAAATGTTTTATTGTACATAATATATCTTGCACAAAATAGACTAGATTTTTTAACTTTTTCAACATACTTGCACACTTCCTGAGTGACTCTATGCCAAATGTGCATTTCTCCATTGTTAGATTAATAAAGTTTATTTATATTTATGGTTAAAATATTTTCCTAATGGTTTGTAGTAGTGTTTTTAATGGAATTCTCGTGACTCCCATTCAAATGTACAGCTCTAACTGATGACCAGGCTTCTATTAGGTCCTCATAATGGGATGTAATGGTTAAAATATTATTATTATAATTTCTTGGCAAACACAACAAGAGTCAGGACTAATAATGCATCTGTTTGGGTTGTGTTTAAGTCATGTCCCGTTCAATGTTATGTTTTTCTGAAGTGTGGAGCATCCGGCTGCTGGCTACAAGAAGATTTTTGAGTCCGTGGAGGAACTCGGTGAACCCATAACTGCCAAAGTCACCGGTAGGAAACGTGCTACAATAATAATAGTATTTGAATGACAGATTTTGAGCTTGTGTGTTAAAGTAAAGGCGTGTGGTGTGCAGGCGCGGTCCCATCATGGCTCGGGGGCAGTCTGCTGAGGATGGGTCCAGGTCTTTTTGAGATTGGGTCTGAACCTTTATACCACCTGTTTGATGGACAGGCTATGATCCACAAGTTTGATCTGAAGAATGGTCAGGTGACGTATTACCGAAAGTAAGTCTTTTAAAGCAAATGTACTAGTTTAGACTTTTGAGTCATGGCCTAAAGAGTTTATTCATGATGGAGGAGTGAAGAAAATGACAAACGTTTGGGACTGTGTCTTAAATTCAGAGAGAAGACATGTTTTATTATCGATGGTAGAGACAGCACAAACACAGATGTTACAGAAAGCAATGCTTATTTGAAATGTTTAACTCTGAAAAAGCATGTTTGTATAGTTTTGTCTTTGCATTTCAGTCACTAAAAAAATTCAGTTTAAAATATCAATGTGATTAAAATTTCAAAATGACATATTCCCTTTTTATTTTTATGTTTATTTTGGAGCCTCACATTCAATGAAAAAAAGACGGATTATTTGTTCCATCAGAAATTGAATATTATTGTCTGCAAATTTCAGTCACTGATAATCAATTTAATAATGTTTTTTATTTCAAAATAAAAAAAACTGTGTTCTGACGAGCTGTGTGCATGGAATTTGTATTTATAATATATTTTGATGGTTTATTCAAATTGATATTTGCAAACTGAACTTTTAGTGACTGAAATGCAAAGACAAAAATATTAAAACATGATTTCTTCATGTTGAAAAATTCAAGCTCATTTAAAATTCCAAATCTGATGACAAAATCTTCCATACCGTCCAATCAGCATTTGCCGCGGTGCTAGTAGCTTGGCCTGGAGATAACCAAAATACGTAATGCCTTGTGCATATTGTTAGAATGATGAGTTTAACTTTCACCACTGTTGCTTCAAAGTGTCACAAAATCTCCAAAGCAGGTGTCTCCAACCTTCTTCACCCAGAGAGCTACTTTCCCAGGACAATAAATGCAGAGAGCTACTCCTTTAAGCGACTCAAGGAATTTAAAAAGTGACATATCAGTGTGAACAAACCTGTTGAGCTTCAGACATGTATGCACGAAGTACGTGCAGTTACAATAACAATTTATGATGATACTGAAATATTAAGTATATTTTTTGATTTGTTAATTTCTAAATCCTTTGGCGAATTACCTGGAAGGGGATGGCCAGCTACTGGTGGCTCCCGAGCTACAGGTTGGAGACCCCTGCTCTAAAGGAACTCTGCATTTTTGTGTGAAATCAGCACCATTTGGGACGTTGTACCAGTAATATTCCACAGAACGTTTACATGCATCTGTCTCCATGAAATCTCGCTTAGACCTTACAACTTCTTTTACAACCACCCACAATGCAGCTGGAAAAATCTCACACCACACTGTAGAACATTTGGGCCAAAGCAATGCAACATCAGCAGCTGACAAAGAGGAGACATGCACCTCTGTTTGGACATTTCAGTGTTGCAACGCACAGACAGTAATACTAGGAATGTTGGAAACTCTCAGTGTAGTTAAAGGAGCAGTATGTAATACAGGGATTATACAGGAAACTATTTTTATATTAGTACTGAACTTAAAGGAGCAGTATGTAAAAATCTGGCCAAAGGTGGTACTGCAGCCTCTCCCACTCTCCCTGACTCAGGTTGCCAGATATGCAGACAAATCCAGCTTGGACCATAACAGCTGAATAGACAAGATTTTTGTCAACAACAAATGTATAACCAACACCTTTTTCACAAAGATAGAAATCCTGGTTTTATTTCTTGTTTTGTCGTTGATGATTGGAGAATCATAACGAGACCTTTTTTAGCTGCGGCCACAAGGTACTTTACCAGTGAGATTAGCTCCACGCGGTGAGTTCTGGCAACCCTGATCCCAGACTTTCTGATTGGTGAAACAGTGGAGGGCGGAACATCAAAATGAAAACAATAACAAGATTTAGGGGCTGGAAAACTAATTTAGGAAAAGAAACATCTCTAAACTACTAAAATTAGTAAAGAAGTATTGGAAAAGAGCATGTTTTATTAATACTTTTGACAGATTAGGGCCCTTTAATGATGACTTGACTTGAAAATCTTACATATTGCTACTTTCGGTGGTACATATATGATGCTTTGTTTTGGATCTTGCAGGTTTATTCAAACAGATGCCTATGTTCGAAGTGCGACAGAGAAACGAGTGGTTATAACAGAGTTTGGTACCGCAGCTTATCCAGATCCATGCAAGAATATATTTTCCAGGTATTTTACTGACTGTAATGTTTAGGATTAGGACAATGAAAGGAATGTATCTTTCACCTTTTTTGAAACGTTGCAGATTCTTTACTTACTTCCAAGGTATAGAGGTGACTGATAATTGTCTCGTGAACATCTATCCGATTGGTGAGGATTTCTACGCTTGCACCGAGACGAACTTCCTGACTAAAGTAGACCCTGATTCACTGGATACATTAAAGAAGGTAAATAATCTCAGATTATTTTGGATTTATTTCTGTGTCACTGTTATGTATATAGTGACACAAAAATACATCCAAAATAATATGTTCTGTGTCACTGTTATGTATACTGTATAGGGACTGGTGCTATGTGGCATCACTGATTGCCACCCCCCCGACCCAGGAATGGATTAAGGGGAAGAAAATAGATGTATATGAAAAACAAGGGAAGGTTTCTCGCCATCATCTTTTGTGTACTTCAGTCAGCAGGTTTTCCCAGCGTTTCGTCGAAAAGGGAACGAAAACTAAGCCGCGTCTCATTATCTTGAGAAAGTTCTTTGGATTAAGAACGAAACGTCGGGAAAACTTGCTGACTGAAGTACAGATGATGGCGAGAAACCTTCCCTTGTTTTGTATAATCACTGTACGACTGAGACAAACTCATGATGTATATGATTGGACATACAGTATAATAATGAACTGGTTTTATTCAGCGCTTTGGACGCTCTAAGGATGTGTGTTTTAGCCTGACACAGAATATGTCTTGTATTTAAGGTGGACTTGTGTAAGTATGTGTCCGTCAACGGCGTGACAGCCCACCCCCACACAGAAGCAGATGGAACTCTCTACAACATCGGAAACTGCTTTGGAAAGAACTTCAGTCTTGCATACAATATTGTCAAAATCCCCGGGCCACAACAAGGTTTGTGTAATTGTGTAGTATATTACAAAGAAAAGGAAAAACCTGTTGGACTCACAGACGTTCTGTTTTAGATAAATCAGACCCCATCGAGAAATCACAAGTGTTACTCCAACTACCAAGCAGCGAGAGACTCAAGCCGTCATATGTCCACAGGTACGCAAACCTAACTACCCAATGTGTGAGTAAGGCATATTTATTTACATGGAGCATGTCACAGAACAAGGTCACAAAAATAATGGAGCACCCGGAGAAAAACCTACGCAGACATGGGGTGAACCTAGCTATTTCACTTGGCATTAGATGACATTGAAATTAAGTTTGGTTAGCTACAAGAAAGAAAGAAAAAACATGAAAATGAAAATGCTGTGAAAAAAACCTTCTGTTAGCCTTGTCTGTTAGCGTGCCAGCTCTCCTCAGACGGCTGAATCGTCTTCTCATATGCATGGAGATCTCTATGACTTCTATTAGATTATATATCATGCTATTTTGACTGTATTTAATTCATTGTTTTTGCAGTTTTGGAATGACAGAAAACTACTTTATATTTGTGGAGCAGCCGATCAAGATCAACTTGCTCAAATTCCTGTCGTCTTGGAGCATCCGCGGAGCCAGCTACATGGACTGTTTTGAGTCAAATGAGAGCATGGGTGTAAGTACAGTCCCTTCACTATCACCTTGATGGTACAGTGGCTGAGTGGTTAACACTCTCGCTTCTCAGCTAAGTAAGTAGGTAAGTAAGGAATCTATATACTGTAGCGCCTTTCACAGACCAGAGTCACAAAGCGCTTTACAATTGGGGGCATTTGTCTCACTCCTCACAGAGATGGGAGCAAGGTCACCATAAAGACCTATTGTAGATGTTAATAGAGGTAGGGGAAACCGGAGCACCAGGAGGAAACCTAGGGAGACACGGGAGGAACAGGCAAACTCCACTCAGAAAGACCCTGTTCAAACCGGGATTCAAACCCAGGACCTCCTTGCTGAGAGCGAGCCACCCTGGTTCAAATCTGGGTTGGAACAGGATCTCTCTGAGTACAGGTTGCTTGTTCTCCCTGTGTCTGCGTAGGTTTCCTCCGTGTGCTCTGGTTTCCCCTACCACTAAAAACATGCACACTAAGTAAAATCCTCCAGCTTCGGCCCTGATTAAGCCGAGCACAAAAACAGGAGATGGGTTACTATGGCGACCACATCAGGATGGGTCAAATGCTGAGGATGATTTGTCCGACGCGTGTTAATTCAGTTTTGGTTTCAGTTTAGTTTATTTAAAAAAGGACAATGCAATTTAATAAAACACACGATAAAACATGAGTTAAAAAAAGCCAAAATTCGCCAAGGAGGGTATTTTTCATCTGTAGTCCCCTGGGCGTGATGTTGAAAAATTAAAATACATTAACATAAATTAAAACACATTAACATACATTAAAATACATGCAAATACACTGACATAACCAAAAAAGAAGACAGAGACAACATAAATCAGGACTATCGTTGTAGTGTTGACATATTAGACTAGACTAGACTAGATTAGAACACTCATTCGAGAATACTCTATTTCCAAAAGTGCATCTTTACCTTCACCGTTGTGTTTTGATAGAACTGGTTTCATCTGGCCACTAAAAACCCGGGCGGTTACATAAACACCCATAAGTTTCGTACATCAGCGTTCAACATCTTCCACCACATCAACGCGTACGAGGACCAGGGCTTCATTGTGGTGGATCTCTGCTCGTGGAAAGGGTGCGTAGAGAAAATATCTATGGTTTTGACTTTATACATGGCAGAAAATATGAATGAAAATGCTCTTTTTTTACAGTTTTGATTTTGTGTATAATTATCTGTACCTGGCCAATCTGAGAGAGAACTGGGCAGAGGTGAAGAAGGCGGCGATGAGGGCGCCACAGCCAGAAGTCAGACGATACGTTCTGCCCCTGGACATCCACAGAGTACGAACAAACTAAACTAAAATACTTATTATGACATGTCTGCTGAGATTGTTGTTATTGTTACTGTTTTTAGGAGGTTTAAATCCCACCACTTACTGTACTTTACGAGTTATTGTTTTGCCTGATAATTTATTCCATTTAAATCATAGTTTGCTCGTGAGGCAAGTAGTTATATTATTTGTGAGAATATATGTTATGCCAAATAGAAAGTTACCAGTAGCAAAAAATATACAAATGTAGTTCATGTATGATAACAACGTAATTCTAAGAAAATGTTAATTTATTAACATTTCTGGACAGTAGTCATCCAGCTCCCTATGGATCAATGGCTTCATGTTTGTTATTATTGCATATCCTGTGTTCAAACTGGTCTCTCTCTGGTCTCTCTCTCTCTGGTCTCTCTGTCTCCCTTTAATCTCTCTCTGATCTCTCTCTCTTGTCTCTCTCTGTGGTCTTTTTCTAGTCTCTCTCTGGTCTCTCTCTGGTCTCTCTCTAGTCTCTCTCTAGTCTCTCCCTGGTATCTCTTCGGTCTCCTTCAGGTCTCTCTCTGGTCTCTCTCTTTGGTATCTCTCTTTGGTCTCTCTGGTCTCTCTTTGGTTTCTCTCTGACTCTCTTTGGTCTCTCTGGTCTCTCTTTGGTTTCTCTCTGACTCTCTTTGGTCTCTCTCTGACTCTGTCTGGTCTTTCTCTGGTCTATCTCTGTCTCTCTCTGGTCTCTTTCTGGTCTCTCTTCGATCTCTCCCTAGTGTCTCTTTGGTCTCTCCCTCTCTGGTCCCTATCCGTCAAATTAAATTGAGGTGAGATATTTTATTATTGAATAGTTTTTCTTGACAGTAACACATGAGAAGATCAGTTTTCATATTTATTGAGGTTTTTCTTTCACAGGAGGAACAAGGAAAGAACCTGGTCTCACTGCCGTACACCACAGCCACCGCCGTTTTGTGCCAGGACGGGACCATTTGGTTGGAGCCTGAGGTCCTGTTCTCCAGACCAAGAGAAGGTACAAAACTATAAAAAAAAAACAAAGCTCATATTGTTGTAACACCATTTTACTATTCACCATTTTAATATTCACATGTTTTCTACAGCCTTTGAATTTCCTCAAATCAACTATCCTCGATGCTCTGGACAGAAGTATTCCTTTGCTTATGGACTGGGGCTCAACCATTTTGTGCCTGACCGGGTACTGATACTTTTGTCATATTTTGTCACATTCTGAGGAACATTTTTTGAAACAAATTGAATTTTTTACTTGTACAAGCTGCACTGGATTTTAAGATACACCTTTCCCACTTTGTAATATTGAAAAATGTTTCTCAAAGACGTCTATTGTGTCTTCTTTTACTGTGAGTAATAAGAGTAAGCAGTGAGTCACAGTTTTTAATCTTTCAGTATGAAACAGAAAGAGCAACATCTACTGGTCTCTTTTCTTTTTGATGTCTGTACAAAGAACGAAAACTATTTATGGTATGAAGATTTTATAAATAAGGACTTTTAAACTTTATTTAAACTGCTTGATTGACAAATTTTACATTTAATTGGTCACCACACTATAAGCTGCAGCCTTCAAAATGCAGGAAACAAGCCGCAGCTTATATTCTGAAAAATACGGTAGGCTTGAGCCAAGCAAGAGGAACGTTGGAATAGGTTTTGTTTTGTTTACAGATAATGAAGCTGAATGTCCAGACCAAACAGACGTGGGTTTGGCAGGAGGAGGACTGCTACCCTTCAGAACCTGTGTTTGTGGCTTCCCCAGAAGCTACAGAAGAGGACGATGGTGAGACTGTGTGTGATCTGGTGATATATTGTTGCATCTACTCAAATCTGCACTGTGGGATTTATTATAGGACTCCTGCTGAGCATAGTGGTGAAACCTGGAGCTGACAGACCCGGGGCTTTGCTGATCCTAAATGCTACAGATCTGACGGAGGTGGCCAGAGCAGAAGTGGACGTGATCATCCCTGTGACGCTACACGGAATGTACAAACCCTGAATCTCATCTTCCATGCTCTAGTTATCACCGTCGATCTCCCAACGCCTCAGATTCACAGACTCCAACCTCCTCCAGGACTTAACATCGAACCCTGAGGATCGAGCCTTCGCCTTTGGGAAATCACGCCCACAACCATCAGAAACTCGGGCTCACTACAGAACTTTAAACCACCTGTTTCAGCCTTTGATTTTCCCAAATGCACGCATCACCAGAATGATTGACAAATGGGAGGACCAATAGTCTTCATGATCCACCCGGAAGTAGAATATCCTACTATATACTTTTAATTTTGTTCTTTAATGTGTCCAAAAAAGTGCTATATAATTTTTATGTATTATTATTTTAATGCAGGCAGGTCAAACTCAGGCTCGAGGGCCAAATCCGGCCCGCAAGACGATTTCAAGTGGCCTCTAAATTGATTTTCAATTATTATTATAAACTTGCAGCTATGATGGTTATGGCAGGTTTTTGTTAACCAAACACATCAATAGTTAAGTTAATTAGTTAAATATAAAACAATGCATTTATGGTTTGGATTTAACTAAACTGGATCAAACACATGTTGATATAAAAAAAAAAACAGATTACTTTTATTAAACTCATGTTTTACTGCAAATGGAAAATAAAATGAATCAATCTGTGGATGAGGTTCTTTTCCCTCTGATTGTAAAACTTCTTCTGGGTAATACACCTGTAAATTCCTGGCCTGCCATACACTGTGTTTTCATGAATTTATAATGGAAAATCTCTTTATAATGCATTATGTGGATTGACACAACCACTTACAATGAGTAGGGAAAAATATGGTGTTTTATCCAAAATATGGCCAACTACAGTATATAAATATAAATGTACCTATCACTAAACATATACATTTAAATGTATATGTTTAGTGAACTAACTGGGACTGAACCAAGACAAAGTTATGCTTATTTTATTTTGCTGTTTTCTGCAAATGTATAACCAACATCATTATTATTTATTCATTTATGCTTCAAGTATTTAGCATAAATCATGAAGGCACAAAATCATGGATTGAATTAAAAACATTCTAAAAACAAAGATAGTACAAATAGTTCTATGATTCTTTTATATCCGCAGCATCGGTGAGTTGGTTCTTGTTGTTGATAGCTGATACTTCTGCTGCTTAATAATATCCAAACAGTCTCTAACCACCTGCGAACAAAAACACAAGACCAGAAATAAGAAATGATGGATCCAGTAATCCTTGTGTGTGTGTGTGTGCCAGTGGGTTTCAAGGCAAGGCAAGGCAAGGCAAGTTTATTTATATAGCACAATTCATACACAAGGCAATTCAAAGTGCTGATAAGTTCAATAAGGTTTTATGTTTTTATACTTTTATGCATGTTACGGGGATCAATAAAGAATCTATATCTATCTGTGACAAAGCAGTTTACTTTGTCCCTTTTAAGGCCAGTGTTGATAAATGTATTTCATTACTGTAAAAGAGGGTGTGTCCTTTTGTCCATTTTATGTTCTGTGAGTGAGGGAGACACACCCGAGGGACACGACTATTTGTTGTGCTTGTACAAAATAAATCTCCTGTTTTACAACTTGTAATACACGTTCTGCCGTATCATTTATCTATGTTGTGTGTGTTTTTAATAGTTTTTTAACTTGCACCACCCAAAGCACCCCGGCTCTCCACGTGACCCCAGACAATTTAAAATACCTGTGCCTTGGGTATAAGAGACGGAGATGGGGAAGAGGTGGAGGAAGAGAAGCGGAGAAGAAGACACAGAGGAGGCAAAAGGTGACCTACAGGTAGTGGCCACAAGGAACGAAAGAGCGAGACTAGGATGGAGCAGTGGAGCCTGTTTTTAGCGTTCTTTTAGCCTGTTTTCAACCCACTTTTTAGAGGTTTTTAATGGTCTAGGGGCGACAATGTCTCAGTTGGTGGAGCTTTGGCCTTTGAGTCTGAAGGTTGTGGGTTCGAGCCCAACACAAGACCTTCTCCAATGACTCCCACTGATGTCTGTTGTTGTTGTGTCCTTGGGCAAGACACTTAACCCCACTTTGCCTGAAGCCCCCACTGAAAGATTAAGGCTATGCTCTCACTGCTTTCTCTGACTGCCACCCCCGATCCAGAAATGGACTAAGAAAATGAACGGACGGTTTTTTTAATCGCTATTGTTTATTTTTTCATGGATTTTATAATAAATAATATTTAACTTGCTTTTTAATCCAAGTTTTTTAATCCTGTTTCCCACATCCGACATGTATTCATCGATATGAGCTTTGTACCTTTCTGGTGTCTTGAGGTAGAATGACTCCATCGTCCCACAATCTGCCAGAGGAGAAGAAGGCTGAGCTTTCTTCTTTTAATCTGTTTGTTTCTTCCTCTTCATCTGGTGAAAGCAAAGATCTAGAGGAGCTCGGAGCCGTGATGGACACTCTGGCATTTGGCCACAGGAACAGGAAGTTAGGGTCAAAGGCTCGACCACACTATTCACAAACAGGAAACAATCATTCAGTGTTAATTGATTCATCCTCAAATGTCTTTACAAAAACAATAAAGTATCTTTGTATCCTCTATCTGTCACCTTCACTGGATTAGCCTGGTTTTACCACACCATCGTACAAACTTAATTTCGTTCATGTAGGGAAAGTAATAATTGATGTTTACGGATGGATAAAACCAGGCTATCACTGGATGCACTTGTTATTTAAATGTGTTTATTTTAGTTGTCCGCAATATTTTTGTCCCCGTCTCTACACCTTATTCTCTCAGAAGCTCACAGTGTCTCACATTTTCTGTTTCCGAGAGTTTGTAAAGAAGTTGGACGTAGATATTTTCAACACAAGTCTCCATCAGACTGGAATAAACTCACATCCATACGATCCATTATGTCTTTGTTCATTAACATTGGAATCATGTCAGTATGTTTGCCATTATTGTTGATAGTTTTACTTTGTCTCTCTCCAAATGTTTAATATTAGCAGAGGGGAGAAGTGGTGTGTGAATAGAACCCCGCTTCTGTCAGCTGTGGCTACAATAGTTTATCACTACTAAGTTTGAAGTGAAATACTAATGACACGTGATGAGACTTTGAGCGTCCTGAAAAGCACTGTATAAAACCAATGCATTATTATTATCATTATTATTATAATTATGTTTGCTTGGGTGTGTAAACTTTTGAGCACAACCGTTGCTAGTATGATGTAAATAAGAAAAGAGATGAGTTCCCACCATTGCATAACTGTCGGCTCCATGACATCCACCGATCACCACAGTTATTTTAGGAACAGAGGCACAGGCCACAGCCGACATCATGGAGCCCTGAGCCTTCAGACGGTTACTGTTTATCTCTGCCTGAAAAGACACACAACATTTCCGTCTACTGTTGTTCAATATTAAGATGTAGCGTAACGACAAAAGCTGCAGACTCACTTGTTGTATAGAAAAGGTTGAAGCTGATGCAGGGACAGTGTTCTGAAGGAAGAGAAGAGGAATGTCTCTCTGATCACACAACTGGACAAAGTGAGTTCCTTTCAGAGCCGCCTCATTAGAGAGTTCTCCGTTATTGGCCACGATTCCAACCAAGTGTCTGAAGGAAGAACAACAAACGTCAAATCGTGCACTTATTACGAGCCATTTTTTCACTCTTACCCATGAATCTTTGCAAATCCTGTAATAAGCGTTGTTCCAAAACGTGCTTTAAACTCTTGAAACCGGCTCCCATCAGCGAGTCGACTCACCACCTTTAAGCACAGACCAAAGACTTTCAAGGACAAATCAACTTTTTTAAACTCATAAACTGCAGAAATATGTTTCTTATAGTGCTCTCTACATATCCTGGTCATTTATTTGACATTTTAGTACAAATTAGATAAAAACTCACTTTTGAGCCTAAAACCGTTGGTGTGGCACCCTCTCTGCCTTTTTGGTGGCACTACATTTGAATTTTGGTCCTGGCCTCTCATTGGCTCTGGAGAACTGTGTGATGACAGTTGTGCTGTGTGACATCATTGGTATGTGTGACGTCAGTTGGACGAGCGTCTCTCTGCGCTAGTGGTATAAACCATAGACATCCATCCATCCATTTTCTTCCCCTTAATCCATTTCTGGGTCGGGGGGTGGCAGTCAGAGCTGCACCCAGTACACAGAGCACCAGCCCCTCACTGATCCTCCTGCAGGTGGTGAGTCCACAGGAGCTGAGATCTTTCAGTGGGGGCTTCAGGCAAAGTGGGGTTAAGTGTCTTGCCCAAGGACACAACGACAGCAGACATCAGTGGGAGTCGTGAAGGCAAGTGAGCCACTGTCTTGTGTAAACCCATCCAACTCTCACACACGCCCCAGTAGCAGGTTAGAGTATTCTGGCGACATCTAGTGGATTAATATCAAATTACATCAGTTGACTGCCACTGTTGCTGAGATTATTCTGTGGCTAATGTTCAGGTGTGAAGCTCTACAATTATCTTGGTGTGTAAACAAAGGAATAAGACTTTCTGGTGTGTAAACTATTGCTTTAAGCAGCAATGACAACTGTTTTTTTGGTGTGACAACGAGCTGTCAATCACAGCCAAGACAAGATAAAATATAAAGATTATATAATATCTTATAAAAGATAAGATATTCCTTTATTGGTCACACTGTGGGGAAATGTCAGTGTCATTGTTGTACATTACAGCAGAGAAAGAAGTAAATAAGACTCAGATTGCAGACATTAAACAGAGTCTATTATTTGAGATAATAGACAATACAATTTAAATATTAAAATGGTAAAATAGGATAAAATAAACTCCAGAGCTATAATTGCACTTGGTTCAGAAGTATTTAAAATGGTCAATGACCACTGGAAATCTACAAGCGGGAAAAGCTTATTGCCTTATTGGTAAATAATAACACAGGTGGTTTGACTTGTGTTGGGATAATTGGGTAACAAACACTAATGCTAAGAGACCAAATTTCATTCTCTAAATATAGATCATTTTCACTCCCTGTCCTACAATGTTCTGTGTTTTTTTTTTTAATCTGTCTCATAAAAAACCCTAAATAAAGAATTAAAAAAAGGTCAATGACAATAATGTGATCCATTACCAGTTTAGCGTCGAGAGTGTAGCTGTAGCTGAGAGGAGCGAGTCCTTTGAGATCCTGAGAACTAAAGAGTGGTTCTTCATCCGCTTTACTCTCTTCTTCGTCCGGCAGCAGAAAGTTAAACGTGGATATAATGTTTCTGGTGTATTCATACGCTTCCTTTTCTTCCCAAGCAAAATGGTCAACGCAGCCACTGACTCTAAAAACAACAAAGACACACGTTATTATCCAATCAGAGATGAGAGTTCACAGTGAAGTGTTGATTATAGAATCTGGACTTTAGAAGGTTATCACTCAAAAACTAAAATGACAATCATGGATTAGAAAAAGATTTCAAACACAGGCATATAAAGAGACAGTGTGGATAAAAACAAAAGGAAAGATTGATAAATAGACTTTTGGCAAAATGTTGAACAACCATATCAACCTCTGATTGGATCATTCTGTGACTCAGTGACAGAAAATAAAAGGTCAGAGACAAAGATGAACTACAATACAATACAATACAATACAATTTATTCTTGTATAGCCCTAGGTCACAACAGAAGTCATCTTAGAGGATTTAACAAAACCATTCAAATCACCAACACAGGTCAGGGAATCAACAGTTAAAACACATGGAGAATATAAAGCACACACAGAAGAATATGTCCATACATGTTGTAGAATGCTAAAGTGTCCTGATCATCACCAATCCTTTCTGTTGGACACTAACTGTCCAACAAGACCCTCCTGCATCGACAAGGAAAAACTCTTAAAAAACCCAGTGGGAAAAAGTGAGAAACCTTGGGGAGAACTAGGGAAACCCACAGGGAGGGAGACCCATATGAGAAAGGGATCCGCTCCTCCGGACGGACAGGCTAATGATCTAGGACCTAAGCTAGCTACAGAACGTGGACCAGTGGCCGCTGAACGTGGACAGGTCCGGTGCAGGACCGAAGCACTCCCAGGCGGGTCGGGCGGGGCAGTCCGCAGGTGTAACTCAACAGATTCACATTAACACAACATCAGGAAATCACTGCATTAAAAAAGAAACATTTAAAAATAATAATCAATAAAAATGTAAATGATCCTTATAGAATGTATAACAGACGTGATGGTTTCTGTCTTGAGAAAACAAAGTGATGGTCTGGTTTCACCTTTAATTGGTTACTTTATGAAAGAAATCACTTTGTTTCTACTCTGTGTAAAAGAAAAGAATCTATGAATAAAATGTGGATCTGAAAATAAGTAACAAACTTCAGCTCATTCCGTCAAAGCATCACGTCCGTTACATAAATAAACAGGCCTGCTACCGGAAACTTGACTAATGTATAAAACAGTTTTGTTCTAGCAACTTCTAATGGACAGAAGAGGGATTTGGACACATGAAAAACATAATATTTATCTATTTTTTGTCCTTTTTTCACACTTTTGTACCTTTAGTGTGAAGTCTTAACAGACACAGGGAGAGACTTTGAGGACTTACTCTGAGTGTAGTCGAGCTCCGCCCAAATCCTCTGGTGAGACTTCTTCCCCTGTCGCGGCCTTGACCAGAGGCGGTCCACCTAAAAAGATGGTCCCGATCCTGTGGACCATCACCGTCTCCTCGGCCATGGTCGGGATGTACGCTCCTCCTGCCGTACATGAGCCGCAAACCACCGAAACCTGGAACATTTAACAACAAAATCAGTTTTTTGTGTTTTACAGTTGATTATTATACAGCTCTTCACAGTAGTAAGTAAGTAAGTCATTTTTATTAATATAGCGCCTTTCACAGACCAGAATCACAAAGCACTTTTTACATTTTTTTGAAAACAGTAGACGGGGCTGGAGTGCTTTTTGGATCTAAAAAAAAAACAGGGAAAAAATAAAATGCGTTGAACGTTGAAAATTCAGACAGAAGACTGAAGCACTCAAAAGTTTTTAAAAATCTTGAAAAGTCTTTAGGTTAAATTACGCCCGCTTTTTACAATTGTTTTGGGCATTTAACGCTCACTCCACACAGAGATGGGAGTGAGGTCGCCAGTGCAGGAGCCACACACCTATTCTACATTTTTAGTGGTAGGGGAAACCGGAGCACATGGAGGAAACCTACGCAGACACGGGGAGAACATGCAGAGACACAGGTGAAGGTGAAATGTATTTATTTCTCTAAAACCACTTAAAATGTGAAACCGTGTGATAAAGACTCTTTAATTTCAAAGTGACATAAGTTTTTGTTGTATTTTGATGATTATTATTACTGTCCATTTTCTAAATATTCTTATATCCTACAATTTTATATTTCATTTTTTTTTTTTTTTACAATTTGTGAGTCAATATCAACATTATAACTAACGATGGCTTGATTTGTCTCACTTTGAATGTAATGAGGCGGTCATATAATAATATCACATCCTAAGTGGAATTACAAGAGCAAAACAACCTTTGAACAATATTCTAATTTTCTAATGGGAAGATTGAGACAGAAATCTGAAACACATAAAATCACAGCTATTTTCCCACATTCATAACATATACTTTGTGCTAACCGTTGCTAATCTATTAAAGGAGGGATCTGCATTTACCTGTGGTATCTTCATTGCAGACATGATGGCTTCGTTGTAGAATGTCCGACCTCCTTGGTTCTTATCCGGAAAAATCTCTGACTATGTTTGAAGCCACAAAAGAAACAGTTTGAATGCACAAACAACACAAATATTTGTTCACTTTTTTAACATGTAAGTTGTAGAATCCTCCTTTGTGAGACCTATAAAGTCTTATCTTATCTTCTCTTAAAAACAATGGATGGATGGATAGATAGACAGACAGACAGATAGATGCATAGGTAATTACATAGATAGATAAATATTGACAAATAGATAAATAGATAGATTCATACAAAAAATAAAATAAATATGTCACCTGCAAAGGCAGAAAAGCCCCTCCAGAGTCGACCAAATAGACACAGGGCAAGCGATTCTGAATGGCTACTTCCTGCGCCCGTAGCTGTTTCTTGACCGTGATTGGATAAGCTGTGCCGCCCTTTACTGTGGCATCATTGGCAATAAACACACACCACAGACTGTTGATGCGCCCGATGCCTGTCACAGACACACAACACCTTCACAACTTTGTAAATACTAAACTCTGGGTTCACCAACTGTCACAGCTAATACAATTCATCTAACTCAGGGCTCTCCAACCTTTTCAATCGGAGAGCTACTTTTATGCAAAAACGAGGCAGAGAGCTATAAATGTAATAATTACGACAAAACAGAGAACACATAAATGTACCATAATACAGTAAAACCCTAAATGTATACTTATATAATAAAATACATATATCAAAATGTATTCAAGATCATTTCCTAAATTCTAAATCCTTTGGAGAGCTACCTGAAAGGGGCTGGCGAGTTACCGGTAGCTCCCGGGCCACAGGTTGGAGACCCCTGATCTAACTAATAAAACTCAAATGATTTAGTATGATTATGAGTTTGAATGTGCATGTATTTTTGGCCTGTCAAATTTAAATCTGATTTTTCAGTCAAAAAAGTGAAAGACTCTCAGCTCTCAACCCAAAGTGTCAAATAGTGACTCAGTGGGCTCTTTCTTAGAAGAATTTAAAAGATAAATGTTTCCTAATAAGACGGCATGTTGTGGTCTTATTTGTTAAAAATTATGCTTGTACAAGACTAGTTATTTTGGGACAAAGAGTATTTCTAAGGAAAGAAAAAAAGGTAATGCAGCCTTAAAGGAGCAGGATGTAAAACTAACCCTTTTTCACAAAGATAGAAATCCTGGTTTTATTCCTTGTTTTGTTGCTAATGATTTGAGAATCATAACAAGACCTCTTTTAGTTCTGCGCCACATGGTACTTTACCAGTGAGATTAGCTCGACGCGGCGAGTTCTAGCAACCTGGATTACGGACTTTCTGATTGGTGAAACGGTGGAAGGCGGGACATCGAAATTAAAACAATAACAAGATTTAGGGGCTGTAAAACTAATTTAGAAATTCAAATATCCCTGAACTACTGTTATCAGTTAAAGTATTTGAACAGAGTATATTTTATTAATGCCTTTTGACATTTTAGGGCCATTTGATGATGACATGACATGAAAATCTTACATATTGCTACTTTAAGTACAACAACTAAAATGGCAAATGTGGTCAAAAGATGCAATAATAAAGAAGAGTTTGGTTTTATTCCTGACCAGTCAAGCAGCCAGCGGAGGGGATGTCTCCATAAGGCAGACCCAGTCCAGCAAAAGGCGACAACTCCAAGAAATCTTCATCATCCAAGAGGAGACGAAGACGATCTCGCACCAGCAGCTTCTTGTTTCTCTGCGTGTGCCGGGCAATAGCATTGGCTCCACCACCTTTCTTCACTTTCTCACTTAAGTCTACATATCTTCAATGAATCGAGGATTAATAGTATAGGGTTGTATTATGGTAATGAAAATGTAAAAACATGCAGGAGCAATGAGTACTTTTTTTGGCAGATGTCACTGTTTCTGAGATTGGCTTCGTACACATGTCGGTGGATTGGTTGCAGTGGCAGGCTCAGGACTGGAAAGGAACTTGGAAGACTTTTTCTCCCCTTCACCGCTGTGCTCATTAGACAACCAACACACTGCCAACTTATGCTGTGAAGAGACATGTATTAGATAAGATTTTTCAGACAATTGTGAAACTATTGAGTAATTAAATACCTATCTATGCATGCAGTTATACCCACCTCTGCCTGTCTGTTAATGTCTGCACTGGCTGACAGTTAATGGTATTGGAAACATTTCTGAGAACACAATGAATGAAGAACAATTAAACAAATTCAACTTCAATGTAAAAAGGGGACAGTATAACCTCCTATATTTAAACAGGAGAAACTCATTGAGATTACTATTCTCTTTGTTCAAGTGTCATGGACAAGAGGCAACACCTTCAACAAACATTTACAACGAAATAAAAGCTAAAAAAAAAAGCTAAAAAGTAAAATATATACAAAGGTATGTAGGAGGATTTTCTACTTCCGGGTGGATCATCAATACTATTGGTCCTCGCAATTGTCAATCATTCTGGGGATAGTGTTCGTCTAATAAGACCAGATAGTTTTAATCGAAAAGTGGAGAGGGCGGTTCTTTCATAAAAATTAGGAAAATGCTCCTAAATACCTTCAAATAGTAAAGGCCAGATCATAATGCAGTACTTTAATAATGTGTAACTATAGGAATAATGAATGGTGGAATAATGAATCTTAAAGGGGATAAATGTGCCAAAGGTCGCTGGCAAAGAAGTCTATAAACTTCTATTCTACTAACATGACAAAACAATCCATGAGCACTTTCAGATCGTGAATTTGTCCTACCTTATGACACTGCGGTACATGTCTGAAAACGTGAATTAAACTCCCTTAGAATGACCATGAACAGCTTATTTCCAGAGTCAAAACAAGGTTCGCGTCCCCTTTCTTCTTTGTGTTTATGCTGCAGGAGGGAAGTCGCCCTCTACTGGTCATACAGATAAATGCAATGACAAACTTTCACCACACGAGGGAGCTGTCTGTCTTCACAATCAAACTCAAACCTCTAGGAAATGAATCAATGCTGACAGAAAAGGATACAATTTTATTATTATTTGATTTTAACCACAAAAAGTTGCATAATAATATAGATTTATTAAACCCTGTAATTTGTAGAGTTATGTTAATAATAATTGGCAGATTGTGACATTTATTAATTGATTGCTTTATTTATTTATTATTTTGACAGTTTTGGTCCACCACAAGAAAAGAGTAATGCATCGTGAAATAATAAAACAGAAAATTAATGAAATAGAAAATACAGTAAATTATTAAATGAAGAAAATAAATATATACAGAAAGAAACTAAAAAGGATTTGTTATTTCTTTGGGCAAAAAACTGTAGTTAAATAATATATATGTTTCAATTCTTAACCGTTATATTAATAATAATTAGCAGATTGTGACATTTATTTATTTATTAATGTATTCATCATTTTAACAGTTTTGGTCCTCCATACTCAAAGAGCAACCTGGCCTTGTATCCACATTCATGTGTTTTTAGCTCTCTCATATATTTTTCATATATAAAATAAACGTTGCAAAGAGAACCTCACCCTTATCAGCTCTCATCCCAGTGTCTATGTAACTCACAGTTCTTTTTCTTACAGCTATGCAAAATATGTTTCTTATCTTATAAATAAAGCATGTTGTGACCAGATTTGTTCACAACATTCTACTTTTACATTTACAAGACGTTCTGTTTTTTTCTCTTGGGACAAACAACAGAAAAGTATTATTGTTATGTACGGAAAATAAAGTGGAGTATCCCAGCTTTGACTTTCACATGACAATCATACAGTGATTTTATAATAGATCTATGTATGAATCACACAATCTGACATCTTCTCATTTTAGCTCTACAGACTATAACCTAAGCTAAATTTTTCACTTCCGAATAATTCTCTTCACAAGGTAAAATATTTATATTTATTATATATATGTAAATTTGATATTTGAATTTTTTGCGCTTTTGTATTTTCAGTATATTTATATAAATTGTAATGTAAATTGTATTGTACAAACAATAATAACAGAAACCCTGTCATCCTGTCTGATTCACCTGGTTTTAGGAACTTTTACCATCAAGCTGCATCCCAACCATTTGATGAAGACCTATAATAAAAAAAGGAAGAATAGGGATTCAAAAACACTAATTATAGTGATCTTAGTTCTTTTACGCCTTAGAAAACCAATCAAATAAATTCAAGGAGTGAACATTAAAGGATTAATCCTTGTAAATTGTATGTATATTCTACAAATGTTTTAAAAAAGAGAAAAAGAAAACAAAATCTCGCTGGAAACAATAATGACAGTTCTTGAACCTTGTCACCGTGTCTGATCCATGTCAGGTCCTGCTGATTCACCACGGAGCAGGAGGCGGGCTCGTGTGAGTGCAGACAGCCAGGAGGAGCACCCGGGCGATCAGCGGCACTTTGGGACAGTCCGAGCGGGCAAAACTGCATCCACCACGGGACAACCCACCTGGAGTATTCCGCGATGAGTTGGGGAACGGAACTGTGGGTGTGTAAAACGAACTTTATTACGCTTGTTTGTGGTTGTTTTTTGCCATTCTGCTCTTTTCACGACTGTGGCATGGACAGGTGTTACCTTTAGCTTTGTTTGTGGAGGCGAAGCTAATCGGAGCTAATGGGAATGCTAGCGCGGTTGGGCGAAGGGTGCTAATGCTAATGCTAATGCTAATGCTAATGCTAATCCGCTGTGGCTGCTCCTTCTGCGGCTTGACAGCGGCAGCACAGGCAGAACAATGAGCGAGTCTGCGGGCGTGCGGGCTGACGGGCTGCTCGGAGGTCACGCTGCCATCAAAACCTATTAATTGTCCCACTTTGCCACATTTACTATTGTTGTGGGCTTTTTGTGCAAATCTGGAAGTTGCCATGCTCTTTTCTTTTGTGTTGTTTGAACGTGTCACACCCTGTTTCAAGTACAAACACTGATTACCTCCAGTTTGGAAATATGAGGTCACGGTGTGCATTGATCTCGTTTGGTTAATTCTTAACTTTCAAGTTGTTTGTTTCTGTGATTGACTTGGAGAAAACGCTCTTTTGTCGTAACTTGAGCTGTGGGGCATGTGAATCCATGCTGAGACACTGTGATAACCAATGCATGGATTGTGGCTGGCTTTCATCTGACTTCCAGTTGTTTTGAGTTTGTTTCAGACCGTGACTGGTTTAGATTTTTGTGTTAATATATTGCATTTTGACTACATATCAGTATGATTTTGGGGTATTGGCTGCCATGGGATCAGAGCAGCCAACAGGATGCCCCTCATGACACTCCTCCAGCTAATAACAAACAGCCTGGATGCAACATTTTTAGTCAGGACAAAGTTTGGATTACACAATCTATTGCTTGGATGGTATACATTTTCGTTATGAAATTTTGAATACACAAATATGAATCACAGATGAAATATTTAAATTGTTAAATATTATCCATCCATCAATACATACTGTTTCTGCCGCTTTATCCACTGCCTGATAGGGGCAGCAGACTAAGAAGACATGCCAGACTTCCCTTCTCCAGTTTAGAGATTAATTAATTTCTTCATAACAATATATATTTGCCATGCAGGTATTTTTCTAAAAATGAAATAATCTCACGAATTATTATTATTGTGTCCTAATCTTTTTTTAAAGAATGGATTTGAATATTGCGATTCAGGTGAATATGTGCAGCTAAATTTGAGGCTCACAGAGGCCATGCTGCTGCCAAAACTGACCGTCATAATCCCTTGATGATGCTGATGAGATTAATGTGTTGGCTGTCTGATGTCAGATTAATGGTGATTGGCCGCGTGATGTCCTATTACAAATTTACCTCCGCAGCATTAGCAGTGTTACGCTGCCATGTAATCACATTTCAATAATCACAATTAAGTATCAATATCTAACCCTGACACTCTAATTCACTGCTCTTCTTTGCTCTTCTTTGCTCCTCTATTGATTAAATGTTTGTGACAAAATGTAAAAATAGTTGTCATTTATGTTGGCTCCTAAATAGGCCAAATATTAGCCCGAGCCTACATCTTAAGAATTCAAAATACATTTTCTGTCACTCTGACTTCATGATCATATAAAGGCCTCATGGTTCACAACATGGCAAACTTCCTATTCTACCTGGCTGACCAGGAAAAGTTTGACTTTAAGTTCTAGATTGTGTGTGCTCAAGACAGGATGCCCTCATGCTTAGGCCAGGGCAGCCCAGAGGAGGACAGGACAGCTCCTCGCAGCAGCAACTTGTCAAAAACAGGAAGTCACCTGCACCATTACACCACGCTACATTAAGGGTCAAAAAGTTTCACCCCAATGCAAAGTGCACTAAAACTATAATCTTCATTCGGTTTGAATTAATATAATGCTTGAAGTCTTCATTGATTACTTTGAGAACTGTGTTTGTAAGTATCTTAACAGTAGTGAGTGCATGAGAAGGTCACAGCGGGTGTGAATGTAGTCGGTGCCAGGCTGGGAGCAACATTGGCCTGAACTGCACAAGCTGTTGGCCCTGTCAACAAGAGGACAGTGTCCACTTCCTGGCCTGGAGCATCAGGATAGAAGGACGCTTTCTGTGTGTGCCTGTGGATGCCATTTTAATTAACCAAAAAGTGTAAACATGCAACTTGTGAGGATAAAATTAGGTGGAAGACAGGAGGTCTGTGTATCAGAGGGAGGTAGAAGACTGTTGACAAATGGAAGAAGACAAAAATAAAACAGACAAACACACACCGGGCTTGTTTTCAAGATTCAATTCACACATGATTGAATATTATCATGATTTTGTGACACATGATACAGTGACATCATGCCAACGTTTGTTTTTCATATGAAAAAATCTGTTGAATGAAGATTGGGCCTCTCAATATATGTAATAATGTAAACAATCTAATATGGGTATCGTGTCAGTGCCATTTTATTAAGGTGATTTTTTTTATGATTATGAATAATTAATGAAGTAATTAAGTGTAAATAAGTCTGCTTTTTGGAATTTTGGTAAAAATAGAAGAGCTGAAAATGCAATAAATTGCTGAGGAGATGTAGAGGACTGGCAGAACAATTGGCAAAATACAGGAGTGGATAGAAATAACACTCGAGGATCCCTGTAGAAAGATACAAGTGGGACTTTTGGCAGATACATTTAATTCCCCATGTATTATATCAAAAAATGTCTCTTAAATGAACTGGCACTGATGACACTATTTTGTATAGTCTGGAGAAAATGTACAGTTTTGTAGAATGTAATAGGACCCACCTGCAGTCCCTCTAGACTTGATTGTAGTTAAATATTTTAAGTGATGGTCCCACAGCTGATGGTCTCCTTTGTGGTTGTGTACTAAACACATCACAAATGCTTAACTTGTTTAGATGGACTCGCATGACTGCAGGTTTCTGCTTCATGGACAGACACTAAATGACTATTGTGTGTCAGCCAGTAGTGAACGAAGATGTATAGTTCTGTATATCTAAGTACTGATGTTTGGAAATGATAGAAATAACATTCAAGTTTCGTCCTCATTGTGTTAAATTTCAGTTTAAGTCCTCTTGTTTTTATTTTATAGTACTTGAAAACTAAAAGCTACACTTTTAACATTTATATAAATCATCTTTTGTCTCTTTGTCGTGTCCTCTGGCCTCTTTGTGGAGTAAACCATCCATGTCGAAGCACTGCTGTTCCTCGGGTCCTCTCTCAGATGGATCGGCCCCTTTCCCAGGGATTCGCTCTGAATTCCCCACAACTGACACTTTTAGAAGGTTCCCACAGCCATGACAACATTGGAACTATTTTAATAGGTTTAAATGTCACAGTGGCCCACAGTATCACTGCGCCATATAAGATATTGTTTTAAGGCCTTCATTCAGTTCATCACTAGGAATGTGATGATATCTCTTTTTAGTGATAATTATTGTTTGAGCAATCATTTTAGTTTTGCTATTCACAATTTTAATGAAAACTAGAACAAGGAGAGTGCGTTCCCTGCCAACTCAACAGGTCATTCAATGAGTTTTAATGAGGTCTTCCTACCGGCGCCAAATTTGAAACTTCTACAGCAGTTTTTGTGCAATCCTGACTACAGACTGACACACTCATAGTCACACTCACATGCACACTCACAAGCACACTCACACGCACAATTGCAATCTTAAACTTCTCCTATTGGCTGGTTGGTATTTAATTCATGTAAACAGCTAAATCATAAATAATAATGATAAAATTAATGAACATAATTAGTCCAAGTATAGACCATTCATTCATTCATTCATTCATTCATTTTCTACCCCTTTATTAATCAATTTCTGGGCCGGGGGGGGGTGACAATCAGAGCTGCACCCAATGCTCATAGCACCAGTCCCTCGTATTTCGACACAGCCTTGGTATTTCAGCGGGGGCTTCAGGCGATGTGGGGTTAAGTGTCTTGCCCAGGGACACGACAGCAGACATAAGTGGGAGCAGTTGAAGTAGGTCTTGTGGGGGATCAAACCCACGACCTTCAGGCCAATGCTCTACCAACGGAGCCACTATTGCCCGCCAAATATAGACTAATCCAATGCAAAAGGACAAACATTACAAACATTTGACAGGAAATTGACACAAAGGACTGAGATACAGTTCGACCTCTTGAGGAATCTGGAAGTGTGTGTGTTCCCTCTGTTTGGGACTCTACATTTAGCTTCTCGCCTGTTGTTTACGAGGAGACGATACACTCTGCAGAGGAGGGTTCCCAGGCTGTTTATCTGTATGCTACTGTTACTCATTTGCACTCAACCAGCTGCTTGATATGGAGGGTTTCATGTTCCCGAGGAAACTAGTCCATGAGATTTCCAGAGGCTACAGTCATGACCCCCCAAGATTTGAGGCTGGATTGCATTTGTAAAATTGTATTTTTACAATCAAGATTCAATTAACCATGCATGTTTTATGTTTGGGAAAGAAAAACATGACATTTAGGAGAGGTAAAAGTAAAGTGAAGATTTGTTAGTGTAGAGTTGACTTATTCTATAATGTTTAGCTGTTTATCAAGTAGGGATGTAAAAAACTATGAATTTTCATGACCGACCACCGAGCCTCATTAACCGGTTGAAACCGGTTAACCGCGTAGTTTAAAATAGTCCACGTTCTTTGAAATAACAACCATTTCGAGCCGCGTACTTTTCATAAGTGCAGCTCTGCGTTCTACTGGATCAGAGCTGAGACAGCGGCGCCCAAACCCGCAACAGCTCCGGCACCTTTGCGCACAGAGAACTGCTGTTTTAATCTTCCCATTCTGCTGTGGTTAATACCAAAACTTTCTAGCAGCAAACGACGGCTCGTCCACATGGTCAGAGCAGCGAGTGACGAGCCGCGTCTCACAGGTCTTCACAAAAGTTTAAATACAAGTGATGTTTGTGGAGCTGATCCCGAGGACCATAAACACAAGTTTATAATACACAAGTTTATAATACATGGGCGCATACAGCTAGATACAGACCCGCTCGTCACACCGTGCAAATAGGGCTTAAAATAGCGTT